ACCAGGCCCTGGGAGCACAGGTGCCCTGTCTCCTCATTTCCTCTTTCCCTGAGGATAGTTCTGGACAAATCACTTCACAGCCACCTCCGGCCAGAACAGGTTAGGTCTCTGCTTCCCCGGCCCTGAGGACCTTGCCGGCCAGGAGGCCCTGAGCCACGGGGAGCCGGCGGCATGTGGCCTGGCACACACCTCTGTGACTCAGCTCCCAGAACCTGGGCCCTTGGGGCTGCAAAGGTGAGCCCCTACAGTTTGGTTTTTCTGAGAGGTTTTAATGGCGACAGGATTTTAGAAAGGCTAGTTTGTTATTTCATGAATCCTTGTAAGCCACCTGCACTCCCTCCTGAAGCACAATGGGAGGAAACAAACAAAACAAACCACAAGGGAACTGCCCCCAGAGCAGACTTAGACTTCTAAGAAATGATAACAGCGGTGACCCTGGAGAAAGCCAAAGATTTGTTTTCACTTCTTTTGTGTTAGAGGGGGAAGTGAGGATCTTTTTTCGATTTAGTTAAAAACAAAACACCACCAAAACCCCCAAATAAAAATGATCAACAACAAAAAACCCCAAACTAAAAAACACTTAAAATTATCCGTAATTCCCAACATGGAGAAGAATTTAATAAAAACCTCGGTAAGCAAAATTAAAAAGAAAATTCTTAGCATATTTAGAAAAAAAAAATCTTAGGTTTTTGGTTTGTTTGTTTACACTCACTACCCTTCCCTTAACTGAGAGCCAGGTTTGTGGAGAATGTGACTTAATTCTAGTTTGCGGGAACCTACCGTCTTCCCCTTTACCCATTCGGTGGCTAGAGAGCTGGAGGCAATCGCAGAACCACAGCCAAATGTTTTAAACCTGGCGTCCACGATCTTCCCCTTTTCATCCACTTGAATCTAGAAAAGAGGCAGGAGTTAGCAGAGGTTCTGGTGTGCCCCATAGAACCTGGTGCTCATGGAGGCCCACGGGGCGCTCCCTCCCTGACAGCTTTGGTCCTGCTTTCCGCACTTAAAAGTCTGGGCGCTAATTACTGAGTTTCCTCTATTCCAAAGAGCTCAGTGATGAGAAGATAAAAGCAGGAACTATACAGAATTATACAGGCCTAGCTAGTAAAGATCAACCAAAAAATATGCCTCCTGCTGCCCCCAATCCTAGCCTGATTTTTGGCTATGAGGTTCTCCTCCCAGCTGCTGGGTCAATGTGCGTCTTTAAACACCAGGAGAGTCTGCAGTAAAGGTCTCTGGATAATGCTTTTTCCTTTGGCGCCAGACTGCATGTAGTAGTTCCCTCCTGCCTTGTTTCTGTTTTCCAAGATAGTCATGAAGCTGTCTGGCGAGCTGCCCACCACGGTGACGAAGGAGATGTGGAGAAAGCTATGGTTCACCCAGAGCGCCGGGCACTACCTGCATGTCATCTCCAACGTGGGGGAGGTTTGATTTATTGCGTTTCCTGTCTCTTTGGGGATTGCTAACTGAACAGTTGTGGTTCTCCTTTGATTGGTAAAATTCACAAAAGATTTCACTTAGCTAAACTGGAATTTAGGCTGGTACAGTGAGCACAAAGGTGAGATCGGTTCACTGTGTCAGAAAGGGTCAGCGTAGTTTACTAGTATGACTAGCATTCAGCCCCTGCGCGAGTCATTTATAACACTGACTTGTCCCATCTCACAGGAATTGAGATGGGGACCAGATGCAATGCTGTACACGTAAATGCTGTCAACTACGGAGCACTGTACAAGCAAAGGGGTCACCGTTACCACCAGTAAAGATGGGAACCAGGGGTACCTGTAATTTCATGACATCGCCACACGCTGGAGCTCCCACCAGTCCGGTTCCAACATTTTTAGACGTCTTATCGAGGGACCCCACGTTTCGGGGATTTTCATAATGATCAACAACCTGAAACGAGAGGGTGAACAGAAATCACAGTCACTCTTTTTTGCTGTTGGTCTCCCCGACTTTGATGGCCAAGTCCTTGAAGTCAGCAAGCTGAACCTGGCAGGCCATCACTAAATACCAAATTTCACCTGGGAATGAATTCAGAGATTCCAGAGAGTGGCAAAAAAATCAGCAAAATCCTGTCTTAATTCCGCAGGGTTTTGAAGCACAAATAATTACTTGACCTTTAACCACCCAAGTCACCAGAGTTGGGCTCAAACAGCATTTTTGTAATTTCCAAAGAAAATCTGTTCTCAAAGGATAATGATTACTATTCGAAAATCCTAAAAGTAAGTATGGTCCAGAAATGGAAGGGTTTCCCAGAAGCCTCAAGGAGACTGTTACAGGAGGAACAAGGCTATGGAATACGTCCCTTTGTGTGCGAAAATAAATAATAAATATCTCATTACTGTATTTCAGGGCCCTGAAATCTCTCTGGTGCAGCAGCGCACCCTGGTGGTAGAAAGCCTTGTGTCAACAACACACATCCCTGGGGCGGGGAGGAGTGAAGTCCGTGGGGAAACGCGCGGAAGCCAGAACAGAATAAACATCTATTCAAACTGGCACACGGAAGGCTTTAAAAACCTTGAGGTTTGTTTACTAGTTAGCAGTAAGTATCCCGATCTTTCCAGTCCCCTCCCCCACCTCCACCCCAGCTATCCAACCACGGATTTTGACTCCAAGCCCAAGGACCTACAAGATAATGTCCAATCTGGACTTTCTGCCCCGGGTTGATTCACCGCATTCTTTAGTCAACCGGTTCCCGAGTGAGAGAGTCTCATGTTTAGGGACTTTCCACCCCCGGAAGTTAAAGGCTGCAAACTATGCACCTATCTCTACTCACAGCTCACCACCACTCCAAACAGAAAACAAAAATTAAAACGTTATGACTGTTCGTTACATGTCCATCTCCACTCGGAGGCTCTGAGCCCCTGCAACAGTAACATCACCCTAAGTGGCCTCCCTGTGCCAGACACCCTGCCGAGGACTCCGCAGGCATGGTCTCGAGTACGGGGGGCTGATAAGACCCCATTTGACAAGTGGGGAAACAGGTTCAGCGCAGGGCACTGACTTGCCCAAGGTCACCTGGCCAGGGCGGTAGCCTTGGCTGAAGCCGGACCCCGCGCCGCTGTGTGTCGGGCTGGCAAGTCATTGCAGAACCCTGCTTCCTGGGCTGTTGGGGGTTTAAAGCCTGGATGCCCGAGATCGCGGCCAGAGGCCGGGCCCACGGGCAGTGGCCATTAGATGAGCAGGAGCTGTCATTTTTATTTCAGGCGCGGTTAGTGCCCCTGCGCAGGAAGGGAAAGTTAGTCCAGGCGGATTCGCGCGAGGGGCGGCCTCTCCGTTGGGGCCCGGGGCGGCCCGTACCCTGGGTCGCAGTGGGGCCTCTCGGGCCCCGCAGTTCCCAGGCCCCGCAGTCTTTCCTAGGCCGGGCCTCCGCTAGGATGCCCGCACTCTCGGTTGTCCTCGCACTCCCGCCCCCGCCCGGTCCCGCCCGCTCCTACCTTCTTGTGATAGAGCCGAGCCGGAGCTGACAGCTCCCGGACCGGCAGACGCGGGGCCCGGAGTAGCAGTGCCGAAGTCGCCCGCCTCATACGTCCTGCTCCAGCCGCCGCCATTTTGCGAGCTTGCGCCTGCGCAGGCCGAGTGCGAGACCGAGGCGCGTGCGCGAGTCTGTTCCTAGCTTGGAGCGCGCTCACTCTAATGTCCCGGCGACTTCGCGCCTGAGCCCTCCCGCTCCGTGCACGTGTACGCGCTTTGGTCCCGCCTTGACCACGCCCCTCCGGGGCGGGCGGGGCGCGGAGCCCGGGTTGGACGCGGAGCCCAAAGGTCTGGAGTCGCAGGAGGGTTTGTCCTCCGTGATGGGTTCTGGATCTGAGGGGCTTCGGGCTGGAGTTCGGGACCCAAGTTTGCGTTCACAAAGTCCACCGCCGGAATGCGCAGAGGATCAACCAGTCCACCTTTCTTAGCCCTGTTTTGCAGCTTAGGAATTTGAGGATCAGAGCGGTGTAGTAGCTTGTCCTAGGTTGCCCGGAGAGTTAGCCTCAATTGGGATTCAAACTTGAACAATCCTGAGTTGGAATCCCGTTTCTGCTCCTAACTGGCTGTGTGATCCTAGGTGAATGACAGCGTCTTTCTAAACCTCGATCTTCCCTTTTGTACTAATTCAAGGACAGTTCTTTCATCCATTAAGCAAATATGTGCTGAGTATCTACTTTTTGTCAGGGTGCTTTGGGAATCCAACGGAAAGAAAAACATATAACTTCTGACATAATTAAGCTTGCTAATGAGGGAGAAAGGCAATAAATAGACACACCAAGGCTTTCCTACGTCAAAGTGGAAAGCTTAGCTAAACGAATACTTTGCCCTGATTTTAAAAAGTGTGTATGTTTGACTCTATTTCTCTCTATATAAAAAAGCAAACTGTCACAATTTATATGACAAGGCATGGCAATGAAGAGATTCTAAGTAAATGTTTACTAATGCAGTTTATTAATATTGGTTTGCAGAATATGATCCTATAAAACCAGAAAACGCACATGTGTATTTAACTGCTAGGCACCAGGCATTACATAAAGGGGAGGAATCTCTTTGGGAAGAGAGTTTTTCTCATGAATGGTGCAGTCGATCCTTCCCCGAGGACTTAGAGATTTCTATGCATTTGAGGCTCAGTTACTGGGGAGACTGAACCACGCGCCAGGTCAGAATAGGCGGTAAGGCATTAATTCCAAGAATCATTTTGACCTTCTCAAGATGGCGGCAAACCCTTAATGTCAATCATCACGCTCACTCCATGACTTCCTCTATGGCTTCCACTTCCTGTCTAAGGACCCAACTTCTGTCCGAAGTTGTGGCGAAACACATGCCCTGTTAGTGAGTTCTTTTTCCTCCAACAAGAACTATTAAAAGTATATAAAATAGCATGAGTTTTGTGTATTTCGAGGTTTCGCCGTCATCCGTGGCTCACAGTTTCTCTCTAGGTGGCAGGAGAGCGCCGTTTTGATCAGGCGCGCGCCGCGGGCAGCTTCTACTTCAGTGGGTCTTCGGCGGCAGAGTGAGGACCCGGGAGGCACTGGAAGCGCAAGATGGCGACGGCGGCCGCAGCATCGGCTTCGGAAGCGGAGGCTGAGCCCAAGGCCGAGGGGGAGGAGGCTGAAGCTAAGGAGGCAAGGACGAGGAGGAAGGTGTTATCGCGGGCCGTGGCCGCCGCAACGTACAAGACCGTAGGGCCGGAGTGGGACCAGCAGGAGGAAGGCGTGAGTGAGAGCGATGGAGATGAGGAGTACGCCATGGCTTCCTCGGCCGAGAGCTCCCCGGGGGAGTACGAGTGGGAGTACGACGAAGAGGAGAAGAACCAGCTGGAGATCGAGCGGCTGGAGGAGCAGGTGAGCGCGGGGGTGGGCGGCGGGCTCCTTCCCTCAGGTTCCCAGGCCCCGGCCCGCCTCCCTTGTCCTCGGCGGTAATAAAGCCGCCAAGGCCGCCAAAGCGCAATTCATCAGCGCGTCTCCCGTCCTTCGAACGCTTACTGCTTGCCAGGTGATTTGCAACCGTTATCCCATTGAACCCTCGCAAGAACCCGCTGAAGGAAGTAGTGTATTTCCCGTTTTGTGGGAGGAAACTGAGGCTCTTGGTGGAGGGAATTCTCTTGCTCAAGATTACAATTCCTGCAAATGGCGAAACAGGCTTTGAACTTTGAAACGAGTCCAGAACTCCCGCTTTTAGCCACACCGTTCAGCTGTCCAGCACGAGAAATAACATTTTATTTCTAAAAGAGAGTTATTTGCCTGTAGGAATGACGACGCTGATGAACTATGGCGTGGTCGGGAAAATATTGACGGTGACGGTGATAATAGAAACGGAAAGGGAGCGATTACAGCGTCTGGAGCCTAAGGCCCCAGTTCTGGCTCTTCCACCCTTGCGTGCGCTTGGGCGAATTTCTTAATCTCTCTCAGCCTCGGCTTTCTCGTTTGTAAATTGGGAGAAACGATTTCCGCACATACGTTTGTTATAATGGTAATTAAAGCCCGGGGCCTGGCACTAGTAGCTACGTGATTTCTAATCTGTAACCTTGTGAGATACAGGTGGTGGTATCTCTTGTGTAATCTAGGATTCCAGCAAGAAGTAGGTGGCACATTCAAATTAAGAAAGTTTGAGTAAAGGGACTACTGTGTCTAGGGCAGGGAAATCAGGAGTAAAGGTTCGGTACCCCAGGGCTAGTAGTAGCAGGACCTTTAGGTGTCCACCTTTAGGCCTGAAGAGGTGATGGGAGGGACTGGTTTTCCAAGTAGTTGTGTGGAGACAACACCTGAGAGGAGGTGAGACGTTTGTTCCAGGGGTGCGGCCCCAGTTTCCCATCAGGGATTGGGGTGGGGAAGAAGTACCCTGACCTACTGCTCTGCCTCTCTCCAAACAGTCTGCTGGTGCTGTCTGCTGGAAGCAAGACAGCCAGAGACCTCATCAGTGTGGTCCACACAGTGGGTCACAGGACGGGGAAGAGAGAGGGTGGAGTGGATTTGGAGGGGCAAACAGATGGAGCACATTCTCATTTTACAGATGAGGAAACTGAGGCACAGAAGGAATGATGAAATGATTTGCTTAGTCACTCGTAAGGGGTTTTGAATTTTTCAGGGTTGTCTGTGGACTGAATGCCACACTGGCTATGAAATTACTTAGTGATGTGAGGTTGTTAGCCTGGGTTTCTCACTTTGCTGGGTGTGAGATTCCTTATAACGTCCTCTCTGGAGGTGATGTTTTTGTTAAGTTGTGAAACAGTTATATTATCTTTTGGTATACCTGTCCCACTTGTCATTGCATCTGAACCAGCTGGGGGTAGGCAGGTGGTTACCATTTCTGCTTTTTATAAATAAGCACGCCGAAGTCCATTCAGTCTTTTATTCATTCAGCAGTGTAATACGAGGTGCCAGGCGGACTGTGTCCCTGTCCTGGTGGAAATCTGTTCTTCTGGCCTGGGGCCTTTCAATGAGCTATTAGCTTACTCGGTAGGGGAAAGAGGATTACCTTTTTAGGGGAAGGGGAGGCTTGGAAGCAGAGCGATTAAGTCCTTGATGAGGTGAGGGTACCCAGCTTACTAGAGAGGAGGGTGGGTCAGGGCAGAGGCCACCGGCCTACTGGTATTGTGTAGTTGCCAGCCCTGCCTCAGGCCACCAAAGGTGACCACACAGGATGGGATCTGGCAGGTGATGGTGAATTGAAGAGCCTCTGGCTTTATCCTCTTTTCTGGAGGGTCTAGAAATGGACTTTTCCAATTTTTCCAAAACTCCCTCCCACCTCCTCCTAATCCCACAGCCTCTAGTTCCTGCTGTAACGACTCTCCTGGTGGAGCATGATGGTCGGTAACTTCCAGAGAGGCCTGTGAAACCCTCAGCCTTGTTGTATTTGCAAGTTCCAGTTCTCGCCCTGAGTGTGTTTATGAAAGCTCGCAGTTAGTAGTATCTGTCCATGTAACAAAAGCGGAGATTTCCCACCATTTGTGTTTTTGGCCTGAAACTAAAAGTGGCACCTCATGGTGTCTTACAGGTCATGTCAGCGCTCTGAGCCTGCTGTGCCAATTGGTAAAGGGAGGGTTGTAGTAGTGCCTCCCTCACAGGGCTGTTGTGTAGCTTAAGTGACAAGAGGTGTGTAAAGCTCCAGGCACAGTTTGACACACAGTAGATGCAGTGATGGGACCTGCTCCCTTCTCCTTCCCCCGCCCTTTCCTGAGATTGCAGCTAAGTGTCCTCTCCACCAGGCCTCTCTGTCACCTCTCTGCCCCCAGTCCAGGGCCAGGTTGTGCTGTTAGGGAGTTAGGAAATTTAATTCGCAGAGCACTTGCACGTTGGCTAAGCCTTCTCTTTCTTTAAAGAATCCTTTGTCGTTAACAGTGTTCTGAGACCAGACTAGACCGGCACATGTGCTCATTTGTCAGTGCTGGTTGAACACTCTGGAAGGTCTCTTAAATGCATGTCAGTGTGCATTTAATGTACGTGCTCTCAGAGCACATCTCCATATATAGTATCTTCATTACTTGGGCCTAAAAATCAGAAATTTAGATCAAAAACCATCCTAGAGACAGTTCCTTTACTTCAGTGAGTTTTGTACGTTTCTCTTCTGACCTCCCTCTGGTGTTCACGGGAGGGCCGCTTGCATAGACATTACTCAGGCTGGCTAGGCAGGACTTGCCCACCCCCCTTCACGCTCAGAAAACACATTCAGACCCAGGTGAGTTGCGAGTGATGGGGTGACAGGGAGAACTGCGCCTGCTCCTTCGTGAGGAGAGTACATCTTTTCAGTTCTTTCACTGTGGTTACTTGCGTGACACACTTGACAGCCAATTTTGAGACATCAGTGCATCATGGCAGTCCATTTGAGATGCAGAGGTGTACTCCAGTGCCTTCCGGTACAGACAGGGAAACAGAACCCGTGGACGTTAGAACACTTGTGTCCTGACCTCGTCCTGTCCTTTTACAGCCTATCACATAATCATGGGATGGGTTCAGCCTGTCAAGTTTTATAAATCATGAGCAGGAGAACATTGCTAAAAGATTTTTTTTTTAATTATAGGTCATGGGCTTACCTGATATTGATTCTTTATTACCTACTTGTGTGTAATTTGATCCGTACAAAGCAGTTCACATCTGTAAGTTGTAAAGGATGGTAATGAGATGAGCACCCTTGCTCTGCCCCTTGCTCTAAGAGTGGGGACTTCATCAGTACTGCTGCCCGTCCCCGCGGCTTCTCCCCGGTGCCAGTGCCCTGCCTTGACCCCATCCCCTCCTCAAACCCAGGTAACTGCTTTTTTGAATCTTGAGTGCTTCCTTCTCTTTAAAACATGTATAGTTTTATCCTCTAAGTATGCATTCCTAAGCATATATTGTCCACTTTTGTTTGTTTTTGAGCTTTTAAAAGAGTGTATCATGCAGTGTGTAATCATCCGGGACCGCGTTCCACTCAGCAGTGTGTTTCTAAGATTCAGCCTCCTTCTTGCAGGTGCAGGTTATCCATTTTTACTGCTGTGTGTTCAGTACCCCAGGGTGTGAGTAGCCCACAGCTTATTGGTTGTTCTGGCATTTGAATTGCTTACAGTTTTTTTTTCCTATTACAAACAAGCTACAAGGAACATTGTTACTGTTAAACTGTGCTAGTCTCAAACCGTGTAAGAGTTTCTCTAAGTCAGTATTTTTCAAACTGGGGCCATGGTCATGGGTCATGAATTCATTTTAGTGGATACACCCAGTGTCCCTCTGTGATATACTTTCTGGTTGCGTGGGTCTGTTTCTGGGCGCTTTCTAGTGTTCTGTTGGTCAGTTTGTCCTGTGTCAGTTCCGTGGTCTAACTCATTACTGCTGAGACTTGCTACCTGCTGAGACAGATCCTCCTGTGTGCAGTTTAATGCAATAACTAGGGTCTAGATTACTAAGAGTATATTGTCAAATGGCAGTGTTAGTCGAATGAATTATAGGTCATCTGTCATCTCTGGAGAGGGAAATATTTATTGCTGAAATGTGGCAGACGTTGGAAGAGTAGATACTAGTCTAGTCATGGTGTATAGACTTAATGTAACCCCATACCCCAACTTGTTTGAAAGCTTTTTTTTTTTTTTTTTAAAGATTTATTTTTGGCTGTGTTGGGTTTTCGTTGCTGCGTGGAGGCTCTCGCTAGTTGTGGCAAGAGGGGGCTACTCTTCCTTGCGGCACGCGGGCTTCTCATTGTGGTGGCTTCTCTTGTTGCGGAGCATGGGCTCCTGGCACATGGGCTTCAGTAGTTGTGGCTCATGGGCCCTAGAGCTCAGGCTCAGTAGTTGTGGCGCATGGGCTTGGTTGCTCCGCGGCATGAGGGATCTTCCCGGACCAAGGCTCGAACCTGTGTCCCCTGCATTGGCAGGCGGATTCTTAACCACTGCACCACCAGGGAAGTCCCTGAAAGCTTTTTTAAAAAATTAAACTTTTCATTTTGAGGTAATTGTAGGTTTCCCTCCAGTTGCAGGAAATAATACAGAGAGATCCTGTGTACCCTTTACCCAGTTTCCCCCACTGGTGACCTTTTGTAAAACTATAGTACAGTCTCACAACCCCTGTATTGACGTTGACAAAGTCAGCACACAAATTGGCTCTGTCACCTCAGGATCTCTCCTGCTGCCCTGATAGAGCCACAGTTCCTGACCTCTAGCACCCGCTAATCTGATCTCCATTTCTACAGTTTTATCATTTCAATAATGTTATGTAAATGGAATCATATAGTATGTAACCTTTGGGGATGACCTTTTTTCACTCAGCATAATTCCTTCAAGATTCATCTGAGTTGTGTGTTTATTTGTTCCTTTTTATGGCTGAGTAGTATTCTGTGGCGTGCGTGTTCCATGGTTCGTTTACCCATTCACCCATTGAAGGACTTCTGGGTTCTTTCCAGATTTAGCTGTTAGGAATACAGCTGTTATGCACATTCCTGTACAGATGTTTGTGTGAACATAGGTTTTATTTCTCTGGAAAAACACCCAAGGGTGCAGTTGCTGGTTGATGTGGTACTTGCGTGTTGAATTCTATGGGAAACTGCCGAAAACAGTTTCCTGAGTTGCTGTGCCCATTTTATATTCTCATCAGCAATGTATGAGTGATCCAGTTTTTTTGCATCTTCTCTGGCATTTGTTGGTGTCACTGTTTTTCCTTTTGGCCGTTCTGATAGGTGTGTAAGGATAGCTCATTGTGGTGTTAGTTTGTATTTCCCTGACCGTTATTCATGTGCACTCACTTGCCATCTGTGTCCTCTGGATATATTGGGTTGGCCAAAAAGTTCATTCGAGTTTTTCTGTAACATCTTACGGAAAAACCCAAAAGACCTTTTTGGCCAACCCAGTACATGTTGGTTCATGTCTTTTGCCTACTTTTTATTTTACTTGGATTGTTTGTTTCTTACTGTTGAGTTTAGAGTTATATCTTTTAGATATTATTAGTCCTTTGTCAGATATGTGGTTTGTAAAATTTTTTTTCCAGTCTGTAGCTTGTCTTTGCATCCTCTTTTAACAGAGTCTTTTACAGAGCAAAAAGTTTTAATTTTGATAAACTCCTAACTTTCTGAGTGTTTTTATCGTGAATGGTTGTTGGATTTTGTCAAATGCATTTTCTGTATCAATTGATACCATGATTTTTGTTCTTAGCTTGATATATAGTGGACTACAGTGATTGCTTTCCAAAGATTGAGCTAGCCTTGCATACCTGGAATAACTCCCACTTAGTCATGGTGTATAATTCTTTTTGTACATTGAATTTAGTTCTGTAAGTTTTCCTGTCCACTCTGTGCTAGCTGCAGTCCACTTATTTTAATTTGCTGTGTTTGCATTTTCATTGAGTTCTGTGTATTTTAAATTTTCTTTGAGATTTCCTTTTTGACCCATAGATTATTTAGAAGTGTATTGCTTAATTTTCAAGCATTTAGAGATATTTCTACAGTAATTGATTGTTGTTATCGGAAAACATACTCTGTATGATTTAAGTTTTTAAAAATTTGTTGAGGTTTGTTTTATGGCCCAGGATGTGGTCTCAGTGAATGTTCCTTGGGCACTTGAGAAAAATGTGTTATTCTGTTATTGTTGGGTAGAGTGTTCTATATATAGCAATTAGATCATGTTGGTTAATGGTGTTGTTGAGTTCTTTTATATTCTTGCTGATTATCTGTTTGGTAATTCTTTTAGTTGCTGAAGTGGGGGGTGTTGAAATCCCCAATATAATTGTGGTGTGTCTGTTTCTTCTTTTAGCTCTATCAGTTTTTGCTTCATCTATTTTGAGGTTCTGTTGTTTGGTGCATGCACTTTTAGGATTGTTTTGTCTTCCAGGTGGGCTGATCCTTTTATCATTATGTAATGTCCCATTTTATCTCTGATAATTTTCTTTGCTGTAAAGTCTACTTGATGTGATATTAGTATAGTCACTTTTTGCTTCTTTTTGTTTAATGTTTGCGTGCTGTATCTTTCCCCATCCTTTTACTTTGAACCTACCTACATCCTTGAATTTGAAGTGAGTTTCTTGTAATCAGCATAGAGGTGAGTTGTGTTTTTATCCACTCTGCCATTCTCTGTCTTTTAATTAGTATGTTTAGATCATATACTTTGAAGGTAATTATTGATACGCTAGGTCTAAAGCCTGACATTTTTTATTTTCTGTTTGTTTCCTGTGTTGCTTGTTCTCCTGTTTCTCTTTTCTTGCCTTCGTATGGGTTATTTGAACATTCTTTAGTATTCCAGCTTGATTTATTTATAGTGATTTTTAGAGTATTGCTTTATATAGTTTCTCAGTGGTTGCTTTGGGTATTTCAGTATATTTGACTTACATGGTATCTATGTTTTACCCCTGAGTGAAGTGTGGAAATCTTCCTATTTAGGTCCCTTTACCATTCCTCCTTTGAAATGTCATTGTTTTGGGTATCAGATAGCCTTAAAATTTTTATTTCCATTATCATACGATTTAGAAGACTCATGAAGAGAAGGATCATCTATTGTATTTAGCCATATTTCTGCTCTTTCTTCCTTCCTGATGCTCCAGGATTTCTCTTATCATTTGCTTTCTGTTTGAAGAAATTCCTTTAGCTATTCTTTAAGAATAAGTCTGCTAGTGACAAGTTCTTTTAGTTTTCCTTTGCCTCAGATGTATGATAGCTTTGGAAGCAATTATCTTAATTTATTAACTTTTAACTTGAAATATAAACGTTTTTGTACCTATCACTCAGCTTCATCAGTCTGTTGCCATTTTTGTTTCTCCCGATAGGGATTTTCATTTGTTTGTTTGTTTAGTAAAAGAAAAGGGCTCTTACTGATGTACCTGGCATGTGCTACAGCGTGATACTAAATTACCTTTCAGTGGGATATCAAGGGTAGGAGGGAGGCTCAAGAGGGAGGGGATATGGGGACATGTGTATGCATATGGCTGATTCACTTTGGTGTACAACAGAAACTAACACAGTATTGTGAAGCAATTATACTCCAATAGAGATCTATTAAAAAAAAAACCTCACAAGAACCTTACGAGCTAGAACCTAGTGGTGTATCCCATTTTACAGATGAGGGAATGGAGACTTAGAAAAGTTAATAACTTGCCTCAGGTCATACTTTGTGTTTATTTATTTGCTTCATTAGAATGTTTTCTGTATTTCAGAGAGAACACACATGTGTTCTGACAGGAATTGAGAGTGTTAAGTTTATTATAAAAAGCTCTTTCTTGTGGATTTTTCTCCCTCTTCCTGAAGGTAAACGTTGCCTTGCTCTTTTCGTGGCTCTCCCACATTGCACATATTTTGTGCTTGTGGCAGACATGTGTCGTCACCAATGGTGAAAAAAGCTGAGTGTTTTTTTTTTTTTTGCGGTATGCGGGCCTCTCACTGCTGTGGCCTCTCCCATTGTGGAGCACAGGCTCCGGACGCGCAGGCTCAGCGGCCATGGCTCACGGGCCCAGCCGCTCCACAGCATGTGGGATCCTCCCGGACTGGGGCACGAACCCGCGTCCCCCGCATCGGCAGGCGGACTCTCAACCACTGCGCCACCAGGGAAGCCCAAAGCTGAGTTATTTTGATGATGGCATTCTAAATTTCAACTTCTGTTCCTTTTTCTTCTAGCTGTCTATCAACGTCTATGATTACAACTGCCACGTGGACCTGATCCGGCTGCTTCGGTTGGAAGGGGAGCTTACCAAAGTGAGGATGGCCCGCCAGAAGATGAGCGAGATCTTTCCTTTGACCGAAGGTAAGGCTTCCACAGTTGGGCTGCTTTTATAAACACAGAGAATTGAAGAGTGTCCTTTTTTTTCAGTGCTGAAAGTGGGACAAGCTCCTTATAGAAAATTTGGAACATATAAGTATAGTGGAAAGAAGAAAACCCATCATCCAAAGTCAGCGATTTTTAGTTTATCCTCTTCTAGTTTTTGCTAAACATACTTGTGGTCATGCGATACTGACTCATGTTTTGAATCCTAATTTCTTTATCCTAACTTTATCATAAAATATTTCTGTGTAATTAAACTTTTCCCCCATTTCCTTTCTGTTTCCTGTTCTAGTATTTGTGTATTTAATCCATTCTCAGAAACAGATAACTGTAAATGTATTATAACTAAACTTTCATAAATAATTTTTAATTTAAATGTTTCATACCTTATTTGTTCCACAGTAGTTGGGCATTTAGGTTATTTCTGCTTATTTGAAACATAATTACACTGAGCATCTTTGTAGTTAAATCTCCGTGAATATACATAATCGATCTTTTAGGGAGAAGTTGGAAAACACAGGTCCTAGATCCAGTTCTGTCCCCTTCTCCCTCCCACAAAGCATAACTGCAGAGCATAGAAGCTGAAATCAGATTGCCTGGCTATATGTCTTTCTAGCTGTGTGACCTTAAACAAATTATATAAACATTCTAAGACTCAGTTTTGGAATTCCCTGGTGGCGCAGTGGTTAGGAGTCCGCCTGCCAGTGCAGGGGATGCAGGTTCAAGCCCTGGTCTGGAAGGATCCCACATGCCACGGAGCAACTAAGCCCGTGCGCCACAGCTGCTGAGCGGGCGCTCTAGAGCCCGCGAGCCACAGCTACTGAAGCCTGCGTGCCTAGAGCCTGTGCTCCGCAATGGGAGAGGCCACCACAGTGAGGGGCCTGCGCACTGCGGCAAAGCGTGGCCCCCGCTCGCCGCCACCAGAGAGGGCCTGCGCTCAGCACGAAGACCCAGTGCAGCCAAAAATAAATAAATGAATAAACAAATTTATTAAGACTCAGTTTTCCCAGCAGTAAAATGGGGATAACAGTAGTTTCTGCCTTGTAGTACATTGATTGGAAGAGGCATTCTGTGCACAACATTTATTAACACATGCTTGGCATGTTGTAAATGCTTAGATAGATGCCATTGTTATTAATGTCCCTGTCACCTACCTCATAGGTTTTTGACAAAGATTGAATGAGAAAATATATCAGTGCTTCTCAAAATATAAAATGCCCAGCCACTCTAGGGATATTATGACTTTAGTGATTGATCTTCTTTGGAAGCATAAGCCTTCTATGTGCTTGGTGCAGGTTTTAAGAATTGAATTTCTGTGAACTGGGCCAGGTTGTATAAGGTGGATGAACCGTACTCGTGCTGATGCCTCACGGTGCAGTCCCTGCTTTCAGCCCGCCCTTTGGTGCTGGGGGTGGTAACGCAGGGGACCCTGGTGTCTTGTAGAGCTCTGGCTGGAGTGGCTGCATGACGAGATCAGCATGGCCCTGGATGGCCTGGACAGAGAGCACGTGTACGACCTCTTCGAGAAAGCGGTGAAGGATTACATCTGTAAGTTCCCTGCGGGCTCTTCTGAGGGTGTCAGGTGGGCTCATCTGGCATCACTCTGCCTCCGTGGATTGTACTGTGAGGTGTTGCTACCCAGTAAAGAGCATTCGTCCAGCGGTTGGAAAGATTGGAGTTCATTTATTATTATCATTGTTTGTGGTTTTCAATTGAGGCTTTAGGTTTTAAAATACAAGTAGAAGAAATATTTGAAGGAAGGAGGTGAGTATACTCACCCCCACCATTTATCTGGCAGGGAGAACTTACCTGGTATTTCCAGATGACTAAAGGTTACCTTTTACACATTGATTGGATTTTTAGAAGCTTTGGACAGAAGGCTTTTTTTTTTTTTCCAGTACTAAAAAACTTAAACATTTAATTTTGACATTTTTATAGGAAATTGCAAACATAGTACAGAGAAGTCCTATGTGCTTGCTTGATCCGGTTTCCCCCAATATCTTATGACTATAGTACAAACTCAACACTGGGAAATGGACCTTGGTACGATGTGTGTGTATACACACATTGTATACACACAATGTGATATTTTATCCCACCACTGCATCAAGGTGCAGAATCTTCCATTACCACGGAGATCCCTTGTCTGCTGGTCTTGACATTTTACCAGTGAAAGTGAAGTGTGGATGCCTTCCCTCCCTTAAAATTCCGTTTGATGGGGGCTTCCCGGGTGGCGCAGTGGTTGAGAGTCCACCTGCCGATGCAGGGGATGCGGGTTCGTGCCCCGGTCCAGGAGGATCCCACATTGCCGTGGAGCGGCTGGGCCCGTGAGCCATGGCCGCTGAGCCTGCGTGTCGGGAGCCTGTGCTCCGCAACGGGAGAGGCCACAGCAGCGAGAGGCCCACGTACCGCAAAAAAAAGAAAAAAAAAAAAATCCCGTTTGATGGTATAAGTCTCTAAATATTTTCTCTACATACATCGAGGACTGTATCACACAATGCTATGGACAGAGTGTTCTTAAAAATTATTTTAAAATGTTTCCCATTTTTAATTAAATATCCTTTTTCCTATCTGATTTTCCTCACTCCCTCTGTGGGCATTTCCCCTAGTGAGAAGCATAGACCCTCTGTAAACTAGACTAACCCTCACTAAGGGCTTCAGCTCCAAGAGCTAGTTCATTTCCATTTTCGTTTTGCAGCCCATATGGCAGCTCTGTACTGGTGAGCAAAAACAGAGTAGCTCACAAACCTTAGCTAAGTTTTTAGAAATGACTTATTTCATTGAGAAAGCAAGCCTAAGGAAAACACACAGCAGTTCTCATGTTGGCTTTATCTTTTTAGTATTTTTATTTTACAAGGTTAGTGTATGAGCATCAAAAATTATTTTCAGATCTCTGAAAAGTGACTTGATAGGCACAATACGTACAGTAAGAATCGATGCATTCATACAGAGTTTAATTCATTGGTCTTAATGCTGCAGGAGTGAGTATATAGAAAGTTTAAAAAGTGAAAGAAACAAGGTAACCGGGTCTTTTTTGTTGTGTTTTAGAGATTTAAAATCTCTAGTAACAGGATTGGTGCTTTTAATTTTGTTTTTCACTTTGATCAGAAGGCTTAAAAATGAATCAAGATTTAAAAGTTGAAAAATTCTAGGCTTTGCAGTCTTTCTGAAAAGTCACTCAGATTTGTAACTATTTTCATTTAAATCTTTACTGGATTTCTTCAGTTTTAACAAATGAGCTCTATAATCAGTCATATTACATATTACCACTTGGCATGTACTGTTTATGGAGTCAGATCTCAATGGTTATACCTAGTAGGGCCATTAAGATAGACTTTCTTTTTGGGCTGCAGTGTTGGTACAGGGAACCTGGGATACTTGTTGGTGATGCTCTTCCCTTTCTCCATGAATGAGTACTTTTTTGGTGGGCTCATTTCTTCTGTTGTTCATCAGAACAAAAGTTTTGATGTTTGAGCATTTCGTATCCTGAACTAATAGAACACTTCTCATTTTTAGGTCCTAACATTTGGCTAGAGTACGGCCAGTACTCAGTCGGCGGGATTGGTCAGAAAGGTGGCCTTGAGAAAGTGCGCTCTGTGTTTGAAAGGGCCCTCTCGTCTGTCGGGTTACACATGACCAAGGGACTCGCCATCTGGGAGGCTTATCGGGAGTTTGAAAGTGCCATCGTGGAAGCTGCCCGGGTGAGTGACCAGTGCTTGCCTTGGCCACCCAGGGCTGTCCTCGTAAGTGGTCTTGGAGAAACATAGTTAACAAAACGGTCTTTGCCTGTCACTTAGTGGGTGGGCAGTAAATAAAATCACGAGTCTTTGTGGAGTAGCAAGAATGTCTTCTTTGACTAAAAAACAGATGACCCTACAATTTTTTCCTGATATTTAAACATACTCCTGTTTTAGTTACTGGTTTCAGGTGACAGTACAAGGATAACGAAGTCATTCCAAAAAAAAGATTTTATATGTGTGTGTGTATACATATGTATGTGTACATATATATGTATATATACATCATGTCCCATAGTAACTGAGAGATTTGATCCCATCATAATTGCGGTTTTTAGACTAGACTATGATTTATAGAATTTTACAGTCCCCTCCCTAGTGTCTCTTTTCCACTCTGTGTGTGACCACAAAGTTGTTGTTGGTACACCGTGGAGCCCTGTCCTTAAGTTAGATCACTGTGGTTAAAGTAGCCCAGTCCCGTCTTGATTGTGTCCCTGTTGAGAAATGTGCAGTGGTGCTCTCCCCTTCCCTGGACTGAGGCGTTGGGACTGAGCCTCTGGCTGACACGTGCGGCTGTCTCGAGTGTCAGTCGTGACCCCACATGGAGTCTGCTCCCACGCTCCCCTCGGTGTTCATGCACTTTCCGGCCACTGTACTTGTACTCTTGACCTCCCTTCATCTGGGAGTCTGTTCTCCTCTCTCGCCAGCTCTGGAGAGCCTGTAGGAGCATCCCTGGTGCCAGCTCCTCCAGGAGCCTTCCCTTGATTCCCTCCCTTCATAATGACAAACTCAGCCCTGAAAACCAGCTTGAAGCGAGCTGCCATCCTTTGATACTTGTGACTCTTCACTTTTGTGATGCTTATGCTGTATCTTGTTGTAGTCCTTTGGGTACATTTCTTTTTCTTTTTTTTTTTTTTTAACATCTTTATTGGGGTATAATTGCTTTACAATGGTGTGTTAGTTTCTGCTTTATAACAAAGTGAATCAGTTATACATATACATATGTTCCCATATCTCTTCCCTCTTGCGTTCTTGGATTCCTTCTTGCTCTCCCCTCATAAACACTTGCTAGGGAAAACATTCACTTTTGAGCCTCGTGCAGCATTTGGTACAGTACCTCATGTATGAGAGGTCCTATGAATTTTTTTAGTGTGAACTAAAGATGTGCTGAAATATTTTTTGAAGTAGGAAGAACCAGAGTTTGTCATTTACTACGAATTTGCTTCTTTAGCCCATAGCTGGCTTCCTTTCCCCTTTTGACCGGGAACAAACCTTTGATTCACAGCTGGAGAAAGTCCACAGTCTCTTCCGGCGACAGTTGGCGATCCCACTCTACGGTAAGAGAAAGTGACCCATCCACAGCCAGTCCTTCGTCGTTCTTAGAATGCTTTGGAGCATGTCACGTGATTAGGCCTTTCCCAGCATCTCGTGAGGCGAACGTGGCTGGTGTTGGTATTCTCATTGGACAGTATCACTGTGGACAGGGCCCTGGGGAAAAACATATCTTGAATTGTTCATGCTCAAGTGGGTTACGAGGGTCAGGGGCAGGACTAGAAGCAGACTTTCTGACCCCTAGTTTCCTGTATTAAGACATTGTCAGGGAGGCAGAGAGAGGGTCTCTGAAAGGAATAGGGAAACTGACTCCCTGTGTTTTCTGGGGGAACTTTATTGAGTAAGAGCTCCATTATGAGCGTTTTCTCTTCAGAAGTAACCTCCATAACAGTGTGGGGCTTGTAGGTGGGCTAATATCCTCCTCCTGTGGAGGTGAACTGGTGGTCCAGGAGCGCAGTCGATTGGAAGTGTTCCTATCTGAATTTCTTGGGACTTGGGAAGGAGTCTTCTTTTGTGTGAACATATTTTGGCAAGCCAAGCCTTTGAGCTTGAACATGAGCAGCGCTGGGAGGACTTCCGAGCATGGGAAGAATTGGGTGCTGCCATCTTGTTTGTTCCCCAGGTGTGGTTATGCGTTGCACACCCTCAGAGCCTCTGGCCAACTTTTTTTTTTTTTTTTTGCGGTACGCGGGCCTCTCACTGCTATGGCCTCTCCCATTGCGGAGCACAGGCTCCGGATGCGCAGGCTCAGCGGCCGTGGCTCACGGGCCCAGCCGCTCCGCGGCATGTGGGATCTTCCCGGACCGGGGCACGAACCTGTGTCCCCTGCATCGGCAGGCAGACTCTCAACCACTGCGCCACCAGGGAAGCCCCCTCTGGCCAACTTTACTTGAGCCCAGGTGTTATTTCTTTTTACTTCCTGGTTTATTTGGATTGGATTTGACAAATTATGAAGTGGCTCTCCAGTCAAATCTTTGGGTGACAAGCAGAAAAGGCTAGAGCTGAGCTGGCTTCTATGTTTAATCTCACATACCAGTGTGAGGCAGTACAGCTTGGTGAGCAGAGCATGAACTTGAGTCAGACTGCGTGGGTTCAAAGCCTTGTTCTCCTGTTAACTGTGGCCAGTTGATGTAACCCTCTGCTTATGTTTCCTGAACTGCAAAGTGGGAATCATGGTAGAACCTCCCTGGTAGAGTGGTGAGGATCGAATGAGGTAATGGATGTGAAGTGTTAGAACATAGGGAGCAGTAGGTAAGTGTGGTTAGAGCGTTGCTGTTAGTTTCATTTAACTAGGTGGTAGGGCTGCCCAGGATGGTGCTTTGAGACAGAGTCTAAGACCAAGTCAGGGCTCAGCAGAAGAGCTCAGGATTCCATAAGTAAGAGCCCAGTGGCCACAGATGTGGGAGGGGCCAGTGGCACCTGAGTCTCAGGGTTTACTCTGTGTTTGAGTTGATAAAACCCAATGGCAAGACCCATGGGCTGAATCCATCTCTCAATAGATATGGAGGCAACGTTTGCAGAGTATGAAGAATGGTCAGAAGACCCTATACCAGAGTCAGTAATTCAGAACTATAACAAAGCACTACAGCAGTTGGAGAAATATAAACCCTATGAAGAAACACTGGTAAGTGTTGGTCTCTTTTACAGTAAACGTCTCTCTACAAACTTTTCCCTAATTGATAGTTGCAAGTAAAACAGTATCTTTAACATTTGTTTTATTGTGAAATATACTATAGAGTGTATAAATGTGTACATTCAGTTTACATCCTAATAATAAAGTGAACATCCATGTACCCACCACCCAGGTTAAGAAATAGAGCATTGCCAGTACCTTAGAAGTCTCCTATGTGCCCCTCTCCGATTGCCTCCTCTTCCCTCTCCCGAGAGGTAATCACTTTCCTGACTTTTGTGATAATCATCCCCTTGCTTTTCTTTATAGTTTTACAACCTATGAACGTATCCTTAATATATGGTTTAATTTTGCTTGTTTTTGAACTTCTATATAATGGAATCATGCTGTATATTTTCTTTCAACATGTTTTTTGGGTTTTACTCATGTTGATAAGTATAGTTTTAGTCCATTTGTTTACACTGCTGTAAAGTTGTCTGTGTATAAACAATTTATTTATCTGTGTTCTTAGGTGGTTGGGTTGTTTCCAGTGTTTTGCTAGGAGGAGTAGTTCTGCTCTGACCGTTCTTGGACGTATCTCTTGGTACACATGAAAAAGAGTTTCATTCCATTACGTCAGAATGGAATTGCTGGGTCCTAGGGTGATGCTGAACTGTTTTCCAGGCTATCAGTTGCTACTCCCGCCTGCAGTATCTGAGAGTTCTCATTGTTCTGCCAACCTGGGGTATTGACATACTTAAATTTTAGGCAATCTGATGGATCTGAAATTATAGTTTTAATTTGCACTTCCCTCATAACTAATGACGTTGAGCATCTTTTCACACCTATTGGCCATTCAGATTTCCTTAAAAAAAATTTTTTTTGAAGTACCTGTTAAAGTCTTTGGCTCATTTTTTTTTGGTTTGTCTTTTTTCTAATTGATTTTTAGGAGTCCTGGGTCTTAATCCATACTTTTGGTTGTATGTATTACAGTTTTTTCCTCCCAAGTTTGTGGCTTGTCTTTTCCTTTTTTTTTTTTTTGCGGTACGCGGGCCTCTCACTGTTGTGGCCTCTCCCACTGCGGAGCACAGGCTCTGGACGTGCAGACTCAGCGGCCATGGCTCACGGGCCCAGCCGCTACGCGGCATGTGGGATCCTCCCGGGCCGGGGCACGAACCCGTGTCCCCTGCATCAGCAGGCGGACGGACTGTCAACCACTGTGCCACCAGGGAAGCCCTGAAGACCAATTCTTAATTTTAATCTAATTGGATTTGTCATTCTTTTCCTTAGGGTTTGTGCTTAATAAATCTCTCCATACTCCGAGGTCACTAATATACTTCGTTCTGTTTTTCTTCTGAAAGTTTATATTTTGTCGTTCATCTTTAGGTTTTCTTCTGGAATGGATCTTCGGGTATGGTCTGAGGCAGGGTCCAATTCCGTTTTTCCATATGGAGAAACAATTGTTCCAGTGCTGACTTTGATAATTCCATCCACCCTCACTCATATGCTGCCCCACATCTGTCATGGATTAGCTTTCCATTTCTGTGTGGGTCTATTTCTGGGCCCTCTGTTCTGCCCCACTGGTTTATATTACACTGCCATAATGACGATAGTTTTATAATTAAGTTTCGATCTTTGGTAGCATGAGTCCCATCCATGTTGTTCTCCTTCAAGAGGGTCCTGGCGTTCTTTAGCTCTTAGTACTTCCGTTAATAGAGAATCAGCTTGTCAAGTTCTATTAAACAAACAAACAAACAAAAAAAAACTTGATTTTTTTTTTTTTTTTTTCCCTACACTGCACCACATGCAGGATCTTAGTTCCCTGACCAGGGATCGAACCCGGGCCCTTGGCAGTGAGAGCATGGAGTTCTAACCACTCGACCGCCAGGGAATTCCCTTGAATTTTTGATTGGAATTGCATTGAATCTGTAGATCAATTTGGGGAAGAAGTTATATCTTTTAAATATTGAATCTTCCAATCTGTGAACATGGTATAGACCTCTGCTATTTAAGTCTTGTCTATAAAGTTTATAAATTTATCCAGTGTCTTGAACACATTTTTAGATGTATTTCTAAGTGTTTTTTTTGATGCTATTATAAATGGTATCTTTTTAAAGATTTTATTTTCTAGTTGTTTGTTCCTGGTATATAAAATGCAGTTTTTTTAATATTAATTTTTTAATCAAACTTGCTCAATCCTTATTAATTTATAGATTTGGGGAGATTTTATGTGTTGACAATACACACGCAATATTATTTGTAAATGGCATTTATTCCCCTTTCTTGGTCTTAGAATACTTTTAACTTCATTTACCACCCCTCAGACTTATGCTTTGTTTTCTTGTATTTCTTGTCTTTTAGTTGACCCACAAGGCATCGTTATTAATGCTGCATTTTGCAGTTCCAGTTTGTTTACATTTATGCATGCATTTCCCATTTTCTTTGCTCGCTCTTCTCACGTCGTAGATCTTTCACCTGCAATCACTTTTCTTTTGCTTAAAGTCTGCCCTTTAGCATCTCCTGCACTGGATATTTGCTTGTAACAGATTTTCTCAGTTTTTGTTTGTTTCAAAAGGTCCTTACTTTGCTCTCCTTGAGAGTTAATTTCTCAGGATATAGAATTCTAGGCTGGCAGTTCTCTTCTCTCGGCAGTTAAATATATCTTTTTCTCTTCCGGCTTCTGTTGTGCTGCTGAGTCAGCTGTCCGACTCTTGCTTCTTGGAAGGAAAGCCTTGTTTGTTCTGTGGCCACTTTTAAGGTCTCATTGGTTTGGTTTGCTGTCTGGCAGTCTCACTGCAGTGGGTCCAGATGTGGATTATTTTGTATTTATCCTGCTTGAGGTTTGTTGGGCTTCTTGGCTCTGTTTCCGGTATCTTTCGCGGCCTGGTGAGTGAGAACACAGGCTCTGAGAGATGGGCTGCCTCAAATCTGAATTTTATCTCTGGGCTAGTACTTAGCCTCCTTGTGACTCAGTTGCCTCGAATGTAAGATGGCTACAGAAATGATAGCTGCTTCCTACGATTGTTGTAAAGATCAAATTCTTTAAATTTATTTATTTATTTATTTTAGTTTTGGCTGTGTTGGGTCTTTGTTGCTGCGCACGGCCTTTCTCTAGTTGTGGCGAGCGGGGGCTACTCTTCCTTGCAGTGCGTGAGCTTCTCATTGTGGTGGCTTCTCTTGTTGCGGAGCACGGGCTCTAGGTGTGCAGGCTTCAGTAGTTGTGGCTTGCGGGCTCTAGAGCTCAGGCTCAGTAGTTGCGGTGCATGGGATTAGTTGCTCCACGGCATGTGGTATCTTCCCGGACCAGGGCTCGAACCCGTGTCCCCTGTATTGGCAGGTGGATTCTTAACTACTGTGCCACCAGGGAGGTCCCAAGATCAAATTCTTAATATTATCTCTTAAACTGGCAAAAGCTTAACCTTCCCTTAGCTTAACCACTTTCACTTAGATTTTGTTTGCAGTATTTCTTGTTTCTTGGCCAGTTTGTTGTTGATTTGCAAGAAGCTTTTTTTTTAATATTTAATCTAGTATTTTCAGTGGCACAGTGTGTCTGGGTAACTGATTTTGTCATTCTTAGTAGAAACTGAGTCTCTCCAATATCATCTTTCTAAGTTCAGAGCATGCGTGCTCTCTCTCTGGTCTGCATGTGCTCCCTCTCCCTTTTTCACGTGTAAATGATTGGTATTTAGTTGCATTTCACAAAGCTTCATTCATGAAATCCTCAGGCAGTTGAATTTTGTTTTGACCTTCAGCAGAGTGTGGCTGAGGAGAAAACAAGTTGAATAAGAGGATTTTGTTTAAAAAGAATTTTAATTGTATGCCTTTGGATCAGTAAACATTGAGCATAGCCTCCTCCATCTCCTGCATATACCTGTACTCTGGCAGGAGCTGGTATTTGGAGTGATGAACCTGAAATAGCACAGGGCACCAAGCAACTCTGGTATGGTTGCATTCACCCCACTCAGTAGGCCCAGAAAGTGATATCTGTTTTGAAAGGATGGTTAGCAGTGGTCGTTGGCAAAGATGTTTCTCTTTCATTCAGTTCCTGATTGATGGGAGATTTAAATTCCCTGTGGTCTGGGGATGGAGTTTAAAAAGGGTTTACGGAGCCTTTGTAACTATTGCCATGAAGAGGCACTTTGGATTCACTTTCTGCTCATCAATTTATAGACCTGATATGCAGAGGTTCTGCGAGTGGGGATTGGTGATTCTTATCTTGGTGTGGCCGTTCTCACCAAAATTTACTGCGGAGCTGTGTGTGCTTTCTGACAGTGTCACATAGCTCATTCCAATTTCATTGCCATTCTCCTTTGCCCCAGTTGCAAGCCGAAGCACCCAGGCTGGCTGAATATCAAGCATACATCGATTTTGAGATGAAAATTGGAGACCCCGCCCGCATTCAGTTGATCTTTGAGCGCGCTCTGGTCGAGAACTGCCTTGTCCCAGACTTATGGATTCGTTACAGTCAGTACCTAGTAAGATAACCTACCTGTTCTAATCTCACTTTATTTTTTACCAATTTAGGTTCCATTTAAAGAAAATCAGAAAGAGTGCCAGTAGTTAGCTGCATGCCGCTTCTCTCTGCTTGACTCACTAAGGAAGTCTCCTGGTGTTTTAAGTTATTTTAAACTGATAACTGTAAAAAAATTTTTGCATAGCCTTACTGTTGCGGACTTTATAACATATTAATTTTTCTTTTAACTTATTATCATGGAAAAACGTAAATACATAAATGTAGACAGATTAGTAAAATGAAACTGCAGTTAACCATCACCCAGCTTCAACACTTAATTAATGGCACTAGTCTAGTTTCATCTACAATCTTACTAGGTTCCTTACCTATTTTCCTCCCTTCCATGTTATTTTGAAGCAAATCCAGAAATCACATTTTGATGGTAAATATTTCAGTGTGTATGTATAACAGATTTGAATCGGGATCTAAACAAGATCCATACATTAGGATTGGCTGATGTCTCTTAAAGCTCTTTGATCTCTAGGTTCCCCTCTCCACCTCTCTCCTCTTTTCCCGCAAAACCCCTTGTGATTTTTTTGTTGAAGAAACCAGTCATATTAAGGAAATGTCTTTTGTCGGTTGTGCTGGGAATGTCTCATGGATGGTGAAGTCTTAACAATAAAGTTTTCTCTCCTGACCCTGGCATTCTTTATCATAGGATCGGCAGCTGAAAGTAAAGGATTTGGTTTTATCTGTACACAGTCGCGCTGTTAGAAACTGCCCGTGGACAGTTGCCCTGTGGAGTCGGTACCTCTTGGCCATGGAAAGACATGGAGTTGATCATCGAGTGATTTCGGGTGCGGATGTTTTTGTGGGAAGACTTCTAAGCTTTTTGTCCTGAGTCAGAAACATTGAGCTGTGACAGAAGTTATTAAATCGGCGTTCCCCAGGCGGTTACTTTGGGATATTGGGTATTAGTGACAAGAAGGGCTCTAAATGGGAGATATGAAGTAGTTGTATTTTTTGACTTATTAGAACTTTTTAATGTCTTAATATTCATTGTGATTTTCCAGGGAGTCATGGTCTTTTCACCAACTTACTTGACCTGGAGCACTTTAATGCAGGGCACCTTGTGGGATGTGCCCTTTCTAGAACACAGTTTGTACACCACTGTAGTAGCCTTTCTTTTGAACATTTCTCTCTAGCTCATTTCATTTTTGTTGCATCCCATTATTACTATTTAAGCCATATGGAATTTTATAGTCAGTAGCAGTTTTTAAAATCATCTTGATAACTTCTTTTTGAATTGGCAACAAATCCTGGCTTTTTCTTCGACTCCAGTGACCTTCGAGAAAGCTCTGAGTGCTGGCTTCATTCAGGCCACTGATTATGTGGAGATTTGGCAGGCGTACCTTGATTACCTGAGGAGAAGGGTCGATTTCAAACAAGGTATTGAAGTTTATGTGTTTCCTATCAGAACTGAGTTTTTCCTTAACATGTGTTTTGGTAGGATGTCCAGTTGCCCAGATATCCCATGGTGGGGCAAGTGATATTGGTCACTTTTTTTTTCCTCAGAAATTTTAGCTATTTCAGTTTGTAACGAATCATGCTGTTTATTGTAAAGGGAGAGAGTAATGGTCCTTACGGTTTACACTGGCTCCTGCCAACTTCTTTAGTCTCATTTCTCCCTTCTCTCCCTTCTGTGTATCCTAAATAGTTCTTTACATGGGACTGCTGTGTTCCTTTTAAATCATTGAACGTCCATGGCATCCCCTGCCTTCCTCTCTCCTCCTCCTTCAAAAAAGAAAAAAAAAGAGCAACCAGAACCACACGCCCCCACCCCTAATTGGTGCTTGCTTCCTCATGCAGGGAGCTTTTAGCCATTCTGCCGGCTCGGGGAGACCCCCTCTGCTGTGGTCCCGCACATGGCGCCCTTGTCACCTTTGTCCTCGTACTGTCTGTGATGTGCTGTCTTCCTGTATCTGCCTCCCCCCACTGTGTGATGAGGGCAGGGCCTGGCAGTTTTATTTCCGTGTCCCCAGCATGATGCCAGGGAGCTTCAGTGTAGGATTGAAAAGAACAAACCAGACGTGGCATGTGGCTTCCTCGAGCCGAACCTCTCTGCACTTTCTCACAGACTCCAGTAAAGAGCTGGAGGAGCTGCGGTCTGCGTTCGCCCGCGCCTTGGAGTACCTGAAGCAGGAGGTGGAGGAGCGTAAGTGGGCCTCCCGCCGCGGCCGCTCGTGCTGCCTCTTCTGCTCCGTGTACCTTTTTAGTCAGAGGCGCTTTGCCTCTCAATTACTTTCTGATTTCGTCTACTTCTGTTCTTCAAGGTTTCAGTGAGAGTGGAGATCCAAGCTGCCTGATCATGCAGAACTGGGCTCGGATTGAGGTAAATGTTTTTGACACATTGTCAGTTTCATCCCCCTTTGAGGGACCTTTGTCCGATAGTGTGACCGAAGCTGAGTCAGGATCCCAGGTGACGGTCTAGGCCCTGTAAGGATTCATGTTTATTTCCTTGCTCGACACACATTTGTTTCTATCTTAGGGAGACCCCTAGCTCCCAGCTCAAAGTTGCGCAGCAGCTGTCTGAATGCCAGGCACTCACTTGTGTGTTCCCTTCCCGCGCTGTGCCCCATTGGTGAGCACGTTCCCAGCGTGAGCCGCTTGCCAGGCCTTTCACTGTGTGCCGGGGGATGAGATAAGCCCTGTCCCTGTGCTAGTAAGGCTTCAAGCTAGTGTGGAAGACAGACAGTTTCACAAATAATCAGAGGATATAATGAGTTGAATGTTATTGCTGAACCAAGGACCCCAAGGTGAGTAAGACGTGAACCCTGCCCATAATCAGCTCGTAGGATTGTAAAATTCTAACGTTTTGTCCTCTGGGGGAGAGTCAGGTATCAGGTAGTTGGTGGGTGGGATGGTTGTGTTGAGACCATGTTAACGATGCAGCAACTGCGGCTCAGAAGTTAAGAGCCGGCATCTGCTCCTCGATCCATCTTTCTTTCTCTGCCTTGCCCTTCAAATAAAACACTTACAGTTAAGCTTGTTAAAAATAGAAAACGCCTGGCCAGTACTGTCGTGAGTGCCTGTGGGCTCCCAAGTGTGGTTCTCGAGGTGAACATGGGCAGGCAGCCTGAGGCTTGTTGCTGCAAAAAGGCTGACATGCTTGGGCTGGGCTGTTATCGTGGGGGGTGGCCCATGAATGTCCAGGGACTTAAGTAATGCTGATAGTTTTGGGGTGAGTTTTGGGGTGGGAGGTTTTTAGCCATGTGCGTCTGAAGTGTTTTGTAACAAGTGTCACCATCATAAGGTCTGAGTCCTCTCCTAACTCAGTCTGCTAATGCGTGCAGGCTCGACTGTGCAATAACATGCAGAAAGCCCGGGAGCTCTGGGACAGCATCATGACCAAAGGGAACGCCAAGTATGCCAACATGTGGCTTGAGTATTACAACCTGGAAAGGTAACCGGCCGGGATTGGGGGCGGTGCTTGTCAGGTGTGACCCGCATGCCCCCTGCCTATGCAGCCTGGGCCTGCTTGCAGTACACTGCTTCTCTTTATCGTCCTGTCTCTCCTTGGTGGCGGGGGTTTATGGGGCAGGGCTACAGAGAACCAAAGATAATATTCTGTGCCTGGGCTCTTAGAGCCATGCATTACTTTTTTTTTTTTTTTTTTAACATCTTTATTGGAGTATAATTCATTACTTTCAATTTATTTTGGTTTGTTTTGATTTTTGGACATGAATGTTTTATTTGACTTTCGGGGGAGCTGTTTATTTTTTGTATTTGTCTATAAAAGTAGGAAATACTAAAAAGCAGAGAGGAAAAAACCCAGGTTTTTTTGCAGTGACAGGCCCACATACAACCACCATTAGTTAATGGTTTGGGTATGTTCTTTGAGACCTTCCTATGCTTAAATTTTTAAGAAATGATGATGCAGTTATAGTATACATTTTCTAAACCTCTAAAATTATTTTAAATGTTTATAACATGGAGAAGGTATAAAGAATATGACCAGCTTTTAAATTCAGTATATCTTGGACATTGCATGTCTATAAATACATCTTTTTTCTGTTCTGAACATTTTGGTTTTTTATCCCTGATTTAAAAAATAGTATGTGGGCTTCCCTGGTGGCGCAGTGGTTGAGAGTCCGCCTGCCGATGCAGGGGACACGGGTTTGTGCCCCGGTACGGGAAGATCCCACATGCCGTGGAGCAGCTGGGCCCGTGAGCCATGGCCGCTGAGCCTGCGCGTCCCGGAGCCTGTGCTCCGCAGCGGGAGAGGCCACAGCAGTGAGAGGCTCGTGTACCGCAAAAAAAAAAGAAGAAAAAATGAAAAAAATATTATGTGCTCAAGTTAAAATTGAACATTTAAAAAAATGTGAGATAGAAAGTGAAAGTCTTAAAATCCTTCCCCAGAGAAGATCACTGTAAAAACTTCTTGAATATTCCTCTAGATCAGCGGTTCTCAAGTGTTTTGGTCTCAGGACCCCCTTTACACTCTTAAAATTTGAGGACCCCCTCAAAAGCTTTTGTTTTTGTTTATGTGAGGTATATTTATTAATGTTTTTACCATGTTAGAAAATAAAACCGAGAAATTTAAAAATATTCATTTAAAATTCACAATAAATTCATTACATTTAACATTTTTATGAGAAAGGACTGCTTTCCAAACTCCAAAATAATGCAGTGAGAACGTGGGCTGGTTTTATACTTTTGTAAATATCTTTAGTCTGGCTCAGTAGCAGACAGCTCGATTCTCATGTCTGCTTCTGCGTCCCCTCTGTTGTGACGTTTTCATTGAAGATGAGGGAAATTTGGCCTCACACAAATAAGAGGTTAGGAAAGAGAAGGGGGTATTTTTCAGATAATTGCAGATATTCTTCTTTCACACTACAGCAAAATTTATTAACAAGTCATAGTCATTTGCATTCTGGAATCTGAAGCCATATCAATGAATTTTTCACTCTGTTGCATTAATATCCATTGGTCTGTTTTGCACTGAGCAGACCTTTTATGGACGCATGATTCTGTGACATGCGGTGTGTGTGTGGAAAATGCTGACTCGTTAAGTCCTGCAGCTCTTCCAAATATTGATGCGTTTCATTATCCCATTTGTTATATCTGCACTGATCTTTGTAGAAAAGCCTTACAAGTAGGAAGCTGTCAGACTCACGGTGACAGATACAAATTTTCCAAAGCTCTAATTTTCACTTGAAAGCTCCAGTCTTATCACCGTCAACAAAAACTCTTAAGTGGTTTTCCTTGAACTTATAGCCTCACTTCGTTAATTTTTGAAAATGTCTAGCAAATACCCAGGTCTGAATCACCATAGTTTTTGTCACTCAGCTGTTCTCTCAAGTGAAAATGATGTTCCATGAAAAAAAGTAACTAGTCCAGCTTGCAACTCAAACAGTAGCCCATTATTTCTTTGCTACAACCATTGTACTTGGGTATAAAGAGGTGCTTTGATGTGTGCATCCCATTTGTCACACAGAATATTAACAAGGTATGCACTGTCTTGATTTGTGCTAAGAGCCACTGTAGCTTTTGCACTCTCAGTGCAAATGTCAACACAGTGGAAAAAGTCCAATAAATGTTTCGGTATTATTATGAAAGTAGTTTTGACTTTGCAGACCTCCTGAAAGGGTCTTAGGGACCCTCAGGGGTCTGAACTGCTGCTCTAAATTTTTTCTGAGTGTCCTAATATGTATTTATAATGTTTATGTATATTTATAAAAATTTTAAAACAGAAATGAGAACATAGTATCTCATAACTGCTGGGATGAACAGAATGTTGTTTTAGATATACTATCCTGATGAGCAGTATATATTTCCATGTCAGTGTAGGAAGATCTGACTCTAGGCATGAAATCTGACAGTCCCCTCTGTCAGTGTCTCTCCCCTCGAGTGGGACCGTGTCCTAGAATTTCTCTAGGGACTTTATCAAGTCACCCACAGCTCTTGGATTGCCCCATGCGTTGCACATGTGAGTGCAATAAAAGCAGAACGCCTGGCTGAGGACCACTGTCCCCAGTGCGTTTTCCACTAGCACTGACTTGCTAAGGGAAAGAGTGGCCTAGAAGAATGCCTTTTTTTTTTTTTTTTTTTTTTTTTAAGCCTTCATTTTTGACTAGAGGGGCTCTCTGGGAAAAGGAGAAAGCATTAAAAGTATCATTAGCACAAAGAGCATGGCATCTCAGAAGCGTGGGCTTTGATGCCGTGATGTTAGCTGTGTGAAGACAGCCCTCCCTCTGCGCCTTCCGCTTTGTGTGCTGGTGGCCCGAACTGTGTGTTTTCCGCCTTAGGGCCCACGGTGACACTCAGCACTGCAGGAAGGCTCTGCACCGGGCCGTCCAGTGCACCAGCGACTACCCAGAACACGTCTGTGAGGTGTTGCTCACCATGGAGAGGACAGAAGGTGGGGACCTCGGCGCGCTGCCTCTGGCTTGGGGTCTGTCCCTTTTGCCATTTGGTTTCAGGTCTTTAGGCTTAAGGACAGACTGTGTTTACGGTTTCAGCCCCTCAAGGGGCCTCTCTGATGCGACCGTCACACGGTGTTCGCCAGTGAGAGGGGGGAGTCCTGTAGCCCTCCTCAGACTCCACGTGCCAGGGGGCCCGTGACGATGCTCTAGCGCAGGCCTCTCAAGGCTCTCTTTGGTGGGGGCTGTTGTGTGCGGCATCCCTGGCCTCCCGCTACCCACCAGTAGCGCTTTTCTTGCCCCCAGTCCTGACCACCAGAACCACCTGCAGGCGTTGCCAAGGGTTCCCTGGGAATCAGGAGAGACTGTGCTCCAGCACAGCGCCGACAGGCACGTGGCGAAATGCGCTCCCTGGTCACGTGTGCCTCTCTCGTGAATTTCAGAGCCTCAGTGTTCAGTTTCCATGGGCGTTAGTCTGGATTTCGGGGTATGAACCCCTCAGAACTGGAGATAGACACCCAAACAGCAACAACAGTAAGAAAACACCCCAGCATTTCTCATTTGAGGAGCTCTTAAAACCTTTCGGTCTTAGTACAGGTGTCTTGTACCTTTTGCATTAGAATGTTTTCATAATCTTTGCCACAGAGAGCCCATAATAGAACCTATTCTGGTTTTCAAGTCTCTTTTCTAAAAGAGAACGGATGTTCTAAACACACCTGGAAGGACTATTTGAATTCTGAAACTTGAAACCTATACAAATGAAATCTTAAAATGGGGAGCCGATTCTCCAGTTGTTACTGTTTGATGGAAGAGCTTTCTTCTGGAGGTGCGGGACAGTAAGAAAATTTTATATTATTATTATATCCTTCAAAATCTGAAGAAGTGAAAGTTTGCTTCTCTTCCTCTCAAGGTACTTTAGAAGATTGGGATATAGCCGTTCAGAAAACCGAAACTCGACTGGCTCGCGTTAATGAGCAGAGAATTAAGGTAACGATGCTCTTTATTTCAAGTCTTTGAACCTCTGAAAACTATTTTGACTGTGTTTGGTATGAATGTTCCTTGTCAGAACCTTTGGGGTCGTCCTGAGAAATGTCTTTTACTCAGAGTATTAACTATGAAATGTTTGAATCAACATTTAAGCCTGTCTTTTTAGATCGGCTTAAAGCTTTAGCCCCAACGATAGATACAAACCAAAACAGGAATTTTGGCCCTAAAGGTTATTGGAATAGACGAAGAAGCTAAAAGAGGAGCCTGACATACTTAGCCTAGCGATTGGAGCATGAACACCCCCAAATAAATCAGGGCCTCAGTTTCATAGATTTTTTTTTCCTTTCTTTTGGTGAGTCATTCATGGGGATGTTGTGAGACATACGGTAGACTTGAGATGCGGCTCCCAAGAAGCCTGAAGAGGCTGGGGCGCAGCTGGGGAGGTTGGGAGCAGCCCTTCTCCTCGTCCTCTTCCTGGTCGCCTCCCTTCTCCCGGGTGGTGGCCGTCCTCCCTGCGCTCCCACCTCTTCCATCACGAGCCAGTAGACTTCGTGTAATCGCCACGTACAGTGACGCGTCCTATCCCGATTCTCCAGGCTGCGGAGAAGGAAGCAGCCCTCGCCCAGCAAGAGGAAGAAAAGGTTGAACAACGGAAGAGGGCCCGGGCAGAGAAGAAAGCGTTGAAAAAGAAGAAGAAGACCAGAGGCTCGGACAAGAGCAGAGCTGATGAGGATGATGAGAAAGAGTGGGGCGACGACGCGGAAGGTGAGGCCTGGTCGGACGCCACCTGGGACATCCCGGAGCTCCAGACAGGGCGCAGAGCAGCACGGAGAGCCTTCTTGCATTTGAGAATAAGTTGCTTGCAAGGTGCCCACCACCCTCCCTGTCCCTGCCTGCCCTCTACGTGGGTGCCGTCTTCCCCAGCTTGACTCCAAGGCCCTGTGCCAGGCGCCACCCCGTGTAGACACACCCCTGCCCATACTCCCTGGGCTTCGCTCCCTACCCTGTTGCTGACACCACCGCCCTCTTCCTGAGTGGTGCCTCCTCTCCCTCCGTGGGCTCCCACACCCCCACCCTGTCCTGTCACTCTCCGAGCATGGACACTGCCTTATCCTCAGGCCCTGGCGCCCTGCACCGCCGCCGCAGCTGGGCCCTGCAGTGACACCAGCCTTACTTGTCCCCATCAGGTTTTGACAGGTAGAATTTTCCAGCCAGTGTTTCTGTCACCCCTGCCATTTCAGGCGTGGGCAGGTGTGGGTCAGATTTGTTTCAGCAAAACCAGTCAAGGTAAAGAATTGTCTCTAGACACTAAAGGACACTAAACATTTTTCTAGTTCAGAGTTGTCAACCAGAGGGAAATAGTAATGGAGTCATTGTTCAGTTGACCAAGAATTTCTCCCCGAGTCTTTTTGGGGCCTTCAGAAATGGTAGCTCACTGCGCTTTAGGGCTTCTGGTTTAGCAGGGGAAGGCAAACGGGACCTGTGGCCGCAGTGACGTGTAATAGGGACTTGGGGAGATGTAGGTCTGAATCATGGTGGAGGCCAGGGAAAACACTAGGGGCCCTGCAGGAAAGACTTTGTGGGGAAGTGACGCTGCACCTTGGCATCTGGGGGAGGAGTGTGAGAAAGAAGGGAAGGGGCCAGCCAGCCAGGGTCAGCAAAGCACAGGGCACAAAACAGCCTGGCATTTTCTCCGAGCAGCAAGTGTCTGCCTTTGGGCCCTGATGCATGGCAGAGGGCTGGGTGCTGGGGTGGGTGAGGCTGGGGCAGCAGGCAGGCCAGCAGGCCCAGTCAGGGTGCCCTGGAATGCAGCGAGCGTGCCACGGTCAGGCTCCATCGGGAAGGCAGTGGGAAACTGATGGGAAGGTCTGGAAGCAGGGGACCCTCACCAGTTGGGTTTCAGTGTTGTCCCCCTGGAGGCAGTGGGAAGAGTGGGTTGGAGTATGATGTTGTTAAGTTCTGTTGAAGGACAGAAGACAATCGTGAACGTGGGTAGGAACTGTAGCACCACTTTGTACTGCTTCCAGGGGTGCCCCGGGGAGCACATACTTCAGTGTCACCGGAGGTGCTTGTTTACCCGCGGTCCGCAGGCTCTATCCTCCCTTCGCTGCCCTGGGCTGTCTAGGATGGGGGTCCTTGGGATTTGCCAGCCCAACTTGGAGACCCACTGACCTCTCATATGATTAAGCGTGGCCGATGAGGACTTAGGTTATCACTTGCACCTGAGTTCATCCCCTCACACGAATGTAACTGGGGCCCGGAAGGGAGTGGGATGAGTCGGGCGGGTCAAGAGAGACCTGGCTGAGGGCGGTGGGGGGCGGGTCGTATAGGGGGAAGAGCCCTTTCCCTGCCAGCCGCTCCGCTTGCACTGACAGGAAGGGGTTAGTTAACTAATAGTCACTGCTTTTCTCCCGACCTATTGTAGAGCAGCCTTCCAAGCGCAGGAGGGTGGAGAACAGCGTTCCTCCCGCTGGGGAAGCTGAGCTGGGCCCAGAAGCCGACCCGGGCCTCTCTGGGAGCAGCGCCCCTGCGGCCGCAGAGCCTCCCTCTGAGCAGAAGGAGCAGCGGGCGGCCACCCGAAGGAGGGATGTGCCCAGGGTGCTGCACGACAGCAGCAAGGACGGCGTCACTGTCTTCGTCAGCAACCTGCCCTATGGCCTGCGGGAGCCTGCCGCCACGCTCCGGCCGCTCTTCGAGGCCTGCGGGGATGTGGTCGAGGTCCGCCCCATCTTCAGCAACCGCGGGGACTTCCGGGGCTACTGCTACGTCGAGTTTAAAGAGGAGGCGGTGGCCCTGCGGGCCCTGGAGCTGGATCGGCAGACCGTTGAGGGGCGGCCAATGTTTGTCTCCCCCTGTGTGGACAAGAGCAAAAACCCAGACTTCAAGGTAGGTTTGTGGAATAAAGCACGCCTTTACGTAGGGTTGCGGTAGGACGGGGTAAGCGCTCTTTTCCTGCAGCAACTCATATTTAGAATACACGTGGAACATTTGTTAAGAACAAAACTTCCGCGTTAACCGGGTCAGTTCTGTTCTGGTTCACTGAGGTCTCAACTCGGGGCTGGGTCACTTCGAACCGGCATTACTTGACAGAGGACGGTACAGTTAGGAACTGTGTGATGGCCGCTTGCCGCTGGATGGTTAGGAGTGACGGGACTGTGCCAGGTGTTTTGTATGTTACCTCACTGGGTCGTCACCCAGGCTCTGGGAAAAGTGGCTTCACTTGCCATTTTACAGAGGAGGAAGTGGAAGCTTCGAGAAGTTGAGTGACTCGCCCGGGGCGAGTTGACAGTTCCCAGCACCCGGAGCCGGCTCTGGCTGGGCCAGGCCTGTGGACGAGGCCTGACCCCGTGTCGTGGGGAGCTGGGTTGGGCCTCGGGTCATCATTTCCTCTCCCCACTCCTCCCTGTAGGTGTTCAGGTACAGCACTGCCCTGGAGAAGCACAAGCTATTCGTCTCGGGCCTGCCATTCTCTTGCACAAAAGAGGAACTAGAAGAGATCTGCAAGGCCCACGGCACTGTGAAGGACATCCGGCTGGTCACCAACCGGGCCGGCAAACCCAAGGTCAGCGTCTGAGCAGACGGCAGTCGCCTCCCGGAGTCTGGGCGAGCCTTTGTTCAGAGGTTACTTGGTTCTAGAGTGGGTTCTGATCTGTCTACTAGGAAGCAGACGAGAAGTTAACAGGATAGGTGCACTAGGCTTTTTTTCCATTTGGAGTCAGATGAACTGACTCCAAATGTGGCTCATTGTACTTAAAAGAATAGGGTGTTTGAAGAAAAACTACCACGAATTAGCAGGGGCTCCAGTGCAGCTCCCAGGCTGTGGGGCCTTGGGGTGAGGTGCCCCCCCTTGCAGTCTCCTCCCTCCTGCCCAGACCCCTCTTTTCACTAGGCCTCTGGCCATCTCCCCGGGTCCCTGCACTGGCTTCCCCCTTACCACGTCCTCCCCTTCTCCGGTCCCCTCAATCTCTTGTGAAATCCTTGATGACGTTTTGAGTAGTTGTTTAAGAAGAGTTTGGTTTGACCTCTCAACCCCCGTCCCATTTATCCAGGTTAATCGAGAGTTGAAGAATATGAATAAGGGCGTCCCCAGGCACAGGGACATCGGGGCTCACCTGTGTCCAGGACCCCTCATCCATTTGCTAGATTTATGCTGGTCCCTCTCTCTCTTTTTCTGGCTGGAGCAAGCACAAGATGCACTGAACTTAAAAAGTTATCTGAAGTTAGTCAGTTGCAGAAATAGGGAGGGAGACTAGGGCTGTGAGACCTATAGACAAAGGATGGCGGTGGTGGGGAGGGAACCCAAGGGTCGGGGGCCCGCCCTGAACCGGCTGGTGGACCTCAGGGAGGAGGTTGTGCCCTGCAGCACTCACCTGGCCGGGCTTTTGCAAACTTTCAGGGCCTGGCCTATGTGGAGTACGAAAACGAATCCCAGGCATCTCAGGCTGTCCTGAAGATGGATGGCATGACTATCAAAGAGAACGTCATCAAAGTGGCTATCAGCAACCCGCCTCAGAGGAAGGCTCCGGAGAAGCCAGAGGCAAGGAAAGCCCCGGGGGTCGCCGTGGTGCCGCGGCAGATCTACGGAGCGTAAGTGTTGTGTGCTCGTTGGTGCAGACTTCGTCCTGGCCTGCACCACGGTGACCGAGTTTCCCCTCAACACAGTGAGTTCAGACGGGAGGTCAGGGCCTGGCGTCCCTGGGGCGCTCACGCTCGTTCCCAGGGCAGGGTGTCGGCAGCAAGTCCACGCTGAGGGCCAGGGAAGTGGGACCCTCTCTCGTGTTCGCCGGTTTACTGGTGATTGATTGATTTATTAAGACAGTGATTACGTTAAAGTCCCCTTTGGCAGGTGAATCCATATGTGTAGGTTCCATACCTGACAGCCATGTGCTTGCTGTGCTAATCTATATCTCCACCTGTAATCCAGATAGAAGCTCTGTTCTCACCCGACAGGGATGAGGCAGCAGGGTGCGAGGTTATTTGGTGAGGTCTGCAAGTTTACAGCCATTTTTATCCACCCTGTGTGTGACGGTATTACACAGACGTGGCCCTGGCCAAAATTGTGGAAAAGGCAGAGTTGGTTAAAGTGATTTTTACCTAATAGCCGAAGTCAGGGAGAACAGGGCTCGTCTTATTACCTTCTTGTTTTTTGTTTTTCACCTTTTACCTTGCGGTGATCTGAGACCATCCTGGCTTATTTTCATCAATTGTCGCCTCAGAAGGTCCGTGCATTGTTTGCTCTTCCAGGCGGGGGAAGGGGAGGACCCAGCTCTCTCTGCTGCCCCGCGCCCTGCAACGCCCAAGCGCCACCGCAGCCCAGGCTGAAAACGGCCCTGCCCCACCGCCGGCGGCCACCGAGGTACCCAAGATGTCCAACGCCGACTTTGCCAAGTTGCTTCTGAGAAAGTGAGTGGGACTGTGCGAGAAGGGAAATGCCTTACTTGATGCTGGCCGGGAAGACGCCCGGTGCCCAGCTGTGCCCTGGCTGTGCAGGACCCAGTGCAGCGCCTGTGACCACACGCTTGCTCTGGTTTAGGTAGGATGGGAAAAGGGTGTCCAAGGAAAAAAGAGGCTTTAAGTGCTCCCTCATATTGAGGGCGAGAGGATGAAAATGGTCACTCCACAGGCTGGGCGCAGGGTGCAGTTTCCTAAGATGTGTCTTAAAGAGAGAGAAACAGAAGTGAAATGCGAACACACCGTTTTGAGACACCCCCCCCCCTTGTCCAAATATTTTTGGCCACCTCTGGTCCCCTTTTTATAAGACACTTCTCTTACACCCTGCACAGCACAGGTGCCCATCGCTCTTTTAATTTTTAAAAGACAAAATGGCAGGTGTTAGTAATTCACCAGAATGGCCTATTTTAGTAAAGGGGTGGGGGCAAGGGGCATCACATAAAACATCTGATGGGCTTTTGTTCACGGGGGCTGTGCGTTTTTATATTACGTATTTGTAAATGACACGTCAACCCACTGTTTTGTTTCCTAAAAGCAAAATACTTGTGACATTTGTATAGGAATTCTGTGCGCCATCTGCTATGGACGTTTTTCTTTGCCTAGTGACTAAGTGAACTGTGTTCTTTGTCTAAATACTGAGTTTCAGCCCTTTGGTTTTGTTTAAATAGCATTGTCAAGTGCAAACTTAAATTCTCCCCATTTAGCTTTGTTTATTAAACTGAAGTTCTCTTAAAAACTTCTTGTCGAAAGGTACTCAGATGTGCATTCAAATATGTATTTTGAAATGAGTGTACCTTGGTTTACCTAATGGGTGTGTAAATAGAACTTTTGTAAGTCAAATCCGCTTGGCACTTTGATTTAAACCATTTCTGCTGTGATATCTTCGGTTTTAAACTTCAGTTTACAGCAGTTTGGCGCTTAACAGCTCTCAAGCTTTTTTTTTTTACCCACATCTTTTATCCAGTATTCATTGCTTTGAAAGTGACATTGGCAGTTCAGTAGGGAAACTGACTTTATAAAAGGCACTCTGGGGAAAAAAATCGGAATTCTTTCCTATGTCATGAAAATCAGCTCATTTATCTGTTTCTAAAGGTTTTATGCATCATTCAGGCTGTCCTATATTTTTTAACTTAACAATTGAACCAGATAAGTAGTAAACTAAGCCCCGTGTGCCTGTCATCGAGCTTCAGCATTGCTCAGCTCATAGCCCGTCTTCATCTCCACCTCCTGCCCCTCATGTATCCCGTGTTCTGGAGGGATATTCACCTAATAATACTGTAGCACGTATCTCTAAGGACTTAAAGGCCTTGGTTTTTATCATTTCTAGAAACATTAGCAGTGATACCTTAATGTTATCAACCATCCAGGCAAAGCTCCAATTTCATGTTGTTGATTGATAGGTTCTCTGTACCTCATCTTTATCTTCTGCACAGAACGTTAGGTGTTTCTGAATTCAAGCAGCGGCTGTGAGCAGTCAGAAGAACCTGTGTTCTCTGGGCTGGCCGGCCATCCACTTCCCTGCAAGAGGCCCGTTCTGTGGGTGAGAGGATGTGGGTCAGTCGGGGACCAAGGGGCCATGGACCTTTCCTTAGCAATCCAGGTCATGTGGTGGTAAACGGTTTTGTTCTCTCGCTCTTGCCAATCCTCTGACCTCACCCTCTCAGATGTCCACAGGGGCTTGTTACAGAGGTGGACCTTCAGACTCGAGCAGGACCCGATTTAGGTGCAGGGTGTTGACTGTTCTAGAAATAGATTTTCAGGAACATAGGAGTGGGTTTATGTAGTCCTGGGGGGGGGAAAACTGATGGTAAATAGATACATGAAAAACCATTTCAGCTACTCGTGTCTTAGTGCAAGATCAGCGATACATCCCTGTCAACGTAACCAACCAGTTCTGTCTCGGTGTCTTGTTGAAATAATTACCATCTTGGATCTGTTTTTCTCCCAGAACAATATAAAGAATAGGGCTAAAGTTCTGAAAGAATCCCTCCTTCCCCCTTAGGATAGATGTGTGGGAACATCTCTTGAATAAGGTAGCAAAGTCTCAGGCATTTATGTAACAAAATACTTTATTAGTAATTTGTTAAAATAATACCCTTCACATAGCTAAAGTGCAAATTTCTCCCTCTGGTACAAAGCAAGCACTTCTGTCAGGCTTCCTTGGTGTGCTTATAAAGAGCAAGACGACTAGAAGAGTTAAGGTTTAAGAAATACCTAATGGCAGCATACAAATACACTTTTTATCAAGGTTTGAATAACTATTACTTGGGGCCAGTTCATACATCTTTTCACTTTACTAATCTTTCAGAAATTCAGACTAAACAGCAGCAGCCAACTTGGAAACTTGGCTTTAGTTACATGTAACATTTTATCTTCTAACAAGTTGCCAGGAACATAAGGCCACTCCAAGGCAATCTGCTCTGCTTCCGAGGGGACAGTGGCTGTGGGGCAGGTGAGTGGATTAAAGGGACGCATCCTGGCTGTGGTCAAAAGTGCTTCTCGGCTCCTGTGAACTGGCGCTCTGACTCCTCACAGATGCTTGTTGGGGACTGACTGTCTTCAGATTTGCAGCAGGATTTAATTGTTAGGTGACAAACCCAGAAGAAGAAACATCTGGTCTGAATTGCTGCAAATGTGAGAAACATCAATACAAAGCACCCAGGATAGCCACGCCCCTGTTCTTAATTAGAGAAACGGCCCACGTGGCAAAATAACAGCCTCTGGTACTGGAGTTTGCAAACTATGGCTCAAAGAACCTTCCTTGAAATAAGCGAGGTATCTAACTAGATACTGTAAACGTTCATTTCATATCTCAGAAATTTGCTCTACCGGTAAGGATTAGTCACAACACTAACCTCTTGGTAGGGGAGCCAATGCCTGTACGAAAGGAAGCTTTCAGTCACTTCTCACAACTGCGACCGGGTTCTCCTCAGCCGTGCGGACTTCTCTCAGGTACTCACAGACCCTCGCGGCCGGTTCCAGAAAGGGCTGCAAGGGGTTACTCCTCCGGACCTCATCCCACAGCTCCCCCACCTCAGTGCAGTGCAGATTCTGCTCCAGAACCTGTATTCTGGTCACACAAGGAGCACTGATGCCCCCAAAGCCTGCTGGGGCCACCCCAAGGATCGGGGCCACCAGCACAGACAGCACACGTTTAACCAGCTCTGAGGGAAATAAATAACTGGGCTCAATTATAAGTTATCTTAGGGACAAGGCTTAATAACTTAGTTTCCTTCTTTAAAGAAGCATTTGGAGATAAAGAATTTTAAGTTTCTTACCCATCTCCTTTTACTCTGGGAGATGACTAGGTTTCTAGAATCGCTGAGTTTCTTGGATTTATTCCCCCCGGGACATCCTTTGCCACCAAGGGAGGATTTAGAGCGTTAGGGCTTCACAGGCAGCGTCTCCTTGAACCTAGAGTGGTTGGGTCTGGCCTCTGGCAGTGCCACAGGGTACTCTGTGGTGGCAAAGAGCAGGGTGTCCAGGGTTGTCTCCGTGCACTTGGCAATGAAGCGGATGAACGGCCTCACGTCGCCTTCGTTGGCCACCTCCAGCACGTGGTAGTACTCGGACCTCTGCTCCTTGCGTATGGTGATGGGCGGGTAGCCTGCCTGCATGAGGATGAGGTTCATGAGCAGGCGCGAGGTCCTGCCGTTGCCGTCGATGAAGGGGTGGATGTAGACGAGTTTATAGTGGGCCAGGGCCGCAAACTCCACCGGGTGCAGGTTCATGGCGTCCTCCGAGTTGAGCCACTGTATGAACTCCTGCATCTGCTTCTCCACCTCCTGAGGGTGGGGCGGGACGTGGTGGCCCACCAGGACCTGGGTCGTGCGAAAGCGGCCAGCTTCCACGGGATCCACGTACCCCAGCACCCGCCGGTGGATCTCCAGCACGTCGCTGATGCTGACAGAGCCGATGCGGGAGAGCAGCGTCGTGTTGACGTACTTCATGGCCGCGTGCATGCCGATGACCTCATTCTGCTCCTCCAGGCTCTTCCCCGGCACGGCGTAGCGGGTCTCCAGGATGTGCCTGATCTCTGAGAGGGTGAGAGTGTTGCCTTCGATGGCCACTGTGTGGTAGATGTGGTGGTAGTACGTCTCCTCCATGACCCGGCGCAGTGCCGAGTTGCCCTTGGGGATGGACATGACCTTCTTCACTTTGCTGTCGATGATGCTGAAGTACCGCTGGTCAATCTCCTCCACCAGCGGCAGCGTGCGGTCGCGGTTGACCAGCGCCTTCTTGTGGTGGGGCGCGATGGTCAGTGCTCTGGTGTACAGGTAGTCAGCCTGGATGATGTCCCTGTCCTCTTCTGAGAAGATGCCGAACTCATTGAGCGCGTCCACGAAGCCCGGGTCCATGTTGAGGGCGTGCAGGAAGAGCTTGTGGGCTTTCTCCCGCTTGCCCTGGCGTTTCATTTCCAGGGCTTGGTTCAAAGCTGCTTTGGCTTCTAACTTGCTGGCTAGAAAAGAGTCAAAGAGGTGTGGGTCAGGGAGGGGCAGAGGACGTTCAGGGGCGGCGTCACCCCTGACAGCTGGTCTCCTCCATGGCCTCAGGGGGCTCTATCCAGCCATGTTGTACATGCCCTTCCCATATCTGTATGTGCAGACAGGTTTGTTCCCTACAGCCCAGTGGGGCCCTGTGCTGGTCGCTGTCCACTCAGCCCCAAAGCCATTCTCTACCGTGGGGGCAGCAGCCGGGCTCCTCGGCCCCCTCCTCTGACCTGCCGTCGTTGAGTGGCTGTGTTTTCCTACGGCCGCAGCTCCTGTCAGGCGGCCCTCCCCTACCTCTGCTCCAGCTCGCAGCCGTTCTGGTGATTGCGGGTCCCTTCTTCCCCCTGCCTCCACCCCTGCCCCTTTAGGCCCTGGTTTTCAACTGGACCCTGCGGTACCTCTGGCCCTTTTCTGCTGGCCCTCCCACCCCCAGTGCCAGCCACACCTCCTAGACTTCTTTTAGTTCCTCAAGTGCCCAGGGCTCTCCTACCTTGTGGTCTCTGCCTGGAACACACTCCCCTCAAACCTTTTTCCCTTGGGTCTCTCCTCAGGCATCCCCTCCTCTAGGGAGCCTTCCTGTGTGCTCCTATGGCTCCCTCTGCTTCCGTATCACCACATGTATCTCAGCCACCTATCACCTTGTCTGTCTGGCTAGGAGCTCAGGGCTGACCCTGTACCCCGCACACACGACATAGCTGGCCCTCTAAATACCTATGGGATTAACGAGCGTCGAGGCGAGATGGCCAGTCTTACCTGGAGAGGCCTTGGTCTTGACCACCAGCGGTGCTGCATCCCTGGAGGTGACACTGAGCTCCGTGGATGGGCTGGTGCACTTGGTGACAGCAGGCTGGGCCCTGTCCAACTTGCTCCTGAGCAGGTAGAAGCCTTTGAGCACAGCCAGACACTGCTCCTCCATGGCCCCCAGCGGCAGCAGCAGGGCCATCAGGGAGCCCAGCACCATGCTCAGCAGTATCACCCACAGGAAGCGGCCCCAGACTGAGACCCATTTTGGTTCAGTCACCGCCATCACTGAAGCCATCGACATGAGTGTCATCTGGACCCAGGGGTGGGCCCCTTGCACATGTCCACAGTGGCCTGGGAGAGAGCAGGATCTGCAAGGAACCAGGAGTTGTAGGAGGTGAAGCAGGGGAACCGATACCTTGATGACACATTTCTGGCTTCAGGGGAGGCTTGGAGACCCCACGGTTCTTAATTCACTGTGACCAGGGGGTGGGGGTGAGGCAAGGATTAGGTGCCACCTCCAGGGCGGTGTGACTGTGAAAAACAGTGCTGCCACCCAACTGCTATTAAACACCTACTGCATGCCAGACCCTGTGCTAAACCCTAAGGACCTCACACATACCCTCCTGCAATCTTCAACAGGAACTGAGGCTGCCCAATTCTCCAGCGGAGACCGGCTCAGAGAGGTGAAGGCCCTTGCCCAGAGTCACCCAGTGAGCAAGTAACGGCCTTGGGTTATGGCTCAAAAGCCTCCCCACTTAAGCGTCAATCTGTGGCCTCTGACTCGAAACACTGGGTGCCCTAGACACATAACACACATCTCCAGAACAGCTAAGGTAGTTCTAAGGCTCATTCTTTGGTAAGTACAACTGTTTGAAGGCCTGATTTATTGCCACCTGGGCAGTCAGCTCTTCCTGCCCTCACCCTGATATTAGCCACAATTCTGTTCCCCGCTCTGGCCTTCTTTTCCTGGCCTGTCCAGGAGGCATCCCGCCTAGAGTTTGGGCAGTCTGAGCATCTCAAGAGGAACTCAGGTTGTGGGCCAGAGGGGGTGACCACTTGCCTTCTGTGACAATGAGCAGGTGCTTGGGGCTGGCAGTGGGAGTGGAGGGATCGGGTCTGCAAACACCATCATACTAACAGTAGGCATTTATTAAGCAACTACGGTGTGCTGGGCATTGAGCTGAGTGCTAGCAATGCCTTATCTCACTTACCCCTCACCACCTCACGGAGGAAAGCTGCCCCTAAGCTCCACTTTACAGACGAGAGAAACTGATACACAGAGAGCAAGTCAATTCCCACACAGCCTGCAGGGAATAAACAGCGGCATTCGGGAACGAATTCCCAGTGCACCTGGGTCCAGAGTACCCAGGTCTTCACCTCTTTTATCATAACCAGGGCCCAAGCACCCGATCCCATCTGCTCCTGGTACTGGACCAAGACCCAGAACTGACTGATAAGGTTTCTGGGGGAGCCCGGCTGGTTGATACAGAACATCTGAAAAGGCGTGGTACGAGCTCTAATGGGGAGGTACGGAAGAGAGTGTGGGTCACTGCTTCGTCCAGGTGGTCGGCGCGGGCTCCTCGGCGGGGTTGGAGTTCTCCGAGGAGGACGTGCGTTCTGGGGGCACGAATCTCTCAGCCCTCCCTAGCTAGGAAGGGGGAAACCGGCTCCAAGAGGCGAGGACACTGGACTAAGGTCATTCTGAGAAGCCGCCCCTTTCCGAACCCCCCCCCCCCCCCCAGGGCTCGCTGCCCCGCTGCACCCTTCCCGGTTCACCCCCTCCTCACCTCGCGCCACTACCCGGTCCTGCTCTGCTGTCGCCTTCTCAGCACTCGCAGTCTCGGCTGGCCGCCGGCTCCGGAGACCTTTGCCTTCAGCCCGTGGCCCCGCCCTCGGCGACTCTCCATTGGCCGGCCCGCCATCCTCTTCGCAGCGTATTGGCTTCCTCAATTTGTCTGCGCCTCGCATTTCCGGGTTCCCGCTCTGCCTCCGCTTTCCCGGGAAAGACGCGCCGTGGGCCACTCCCATTGGCTGACTCCTGTATTGGTCTCGTGCCCGTAAGGACCAATAAGCAATAGGAGAGGCGGGGCGTGAGCGACAAGCGGGAGCCCCAGGTGCGGAAAACCCCCGCCTATGCGGTTTTGGGGCGCTCTGGGTACGGCCTGAAAACTCGAAGTTCCAATTGTCTTTCCCTTAAGTTTCTTCCTTCCGCGGGCCCCTCTCGCCGCCCCCTGGGCCTCAGTTTCCTTAGGTGTAAAGTGAGAATGCTGATGGTTTACAGCTGTCCACCCTGTTAGTCTGACTTAACACCCCGCGTTCTCAGCCTCCTCTCTGGGCTACCAGGGTTGCCCTCTTCCCCCGTCTCTCACCTTCTTTTCCTCCTGACTTTTAAATTTACATCCTCTTGAGAAGAGCCTGGCTGGTTCTCTTGCTTCCCGGTGTGGGCAAAGAATGTTGCCTGCCATTTCAGCAAGCAAAGAACTCTGCCTGCCATTCTGGTAGACAATGGATTATGGCCATCCCTCAAGCCATCCTACGTTGCAGCTGCCCAGAGGGTTTGTGCGCCCTAGGTGGAACTCAAGATGGAAAGAAACAGGATACTGGCCCTAGATAATTAAGATGCATATCAAAGGAACAATTTCAATGAGCCTACATTCTTCCATCTTCTTATAGAAAGGCACTAAACTCATTCACTTGAGATGCTTTTTGTGATTAGCAGCAATCTTCTGAGTGTTCAACAGCACCCCCAACCCCCCCCGCCCCCCCGCAAAAACTCATATCCTGGCTCCTCCCTTACCTCTTTGGAACAGTTCTTCAGAGTTGAGAGGACTCTGCAGTCGTCAGTAATGTCCCTGAACAAGAACAATTAAACTTTCAGGTTATATGTTTTGTTTTTCAGTCGACAGAAGTTTTCTCCTTGAAGCAGAGAACTGAAAGCTCCATTTTAATTCACATTTTTTTTTTTTTTTGCGGTACCTGGGCCTCTCACTGTTGTGGCCTCTCCCGTTGTGGAGCACGGGCTCCGGACGCGCAGGCTCAGCGGCCATGGCTCACGGGCCCAGCCGCTCCGCGGCATGTGGGATCTTCCCGGACCGGGGCACGAACCCGCGTCCCCTGCATCGGCAGGCGGACTCTCAACCACTGCGCCACCAGGGAAGCCCTAATTCACAAATATTGACATTAAACATCCAGGACGTGCCCAGAAATGCTACAGTACATGAGTTAAAAATATATATATATTAGCAGTACAGATTCTGTAGTCAGGGAAACCTGGGCTTAAATTCAGACTTTGTCACCTTGGCTGTGTGTTCCCTTGAGCGAGTCGCAGTTTCCCCACCTGTAAAATGGGGGCAAACAGCCTACCTCACTTTTGCCCTCAAGTTTGGGATTTGCAGAAGGCCTGACACCAAAGTAAGCTCCTCTTGTCTGATGCACAGCAAGCCAAAATGCTGAGAAACTGAGGTTTGCAATGAAGAGGATTGATTCGCAAGACAGCCAAGCGAGGAGACAGGAGAACAAATCTCTGATCTGCCTCTCCTTGAAGGCAAGGGGCTCCGGGTATTTATGAGATGAAGAATAAAGCTGCACGGCGGAGGCATGGGGAGCAGGGGGCAGGTGATTGGAAAAAGGTGTGATAATTATCATCCTGCACAGGCGTAAGCTACAGGCCTCTGCACGTTCAAAAGGTCACGGACAGACCCCCGCCCATGCCCAGGTGAATGGTGGATGGACCCCTGCCTACTCGCAGGTGAATGGTGGGTAGTCCTATCCAGTCTCAACCAGCTCAGCTGAACGAGACACAGCTGACTCCAAGTTCCTAGAAAACAACTTGGGCAAATACCTTATTGTTTAGCTATGGGCTGCTTGGAGGACAGGCAAGTCTTAGAACCTTAGTGGAAACAGGTGAAATGGATTTAACTCACGGTTGCAGTTCCCCCTATTTTTGATCATTCCTTAATCTTGAGGAATAAAGGCAAAAACCATTCTGGCTACTTCCTGCTGATAAGAGGTGCAGCTTGTGGGATCAAACTGCTTGGTACTCACTCGAAAATATTCTCTTATTCCTGGATTCAAGTTAACATTTTGATTTTAATAAACAATTACTACCTACACACCAGCTGTCAAGGCACTTATAGGCCCAAGATTGGTAACTGAAACCACAGACGAAGATGTACCCTGAGGGGGGCACACAGAATGTCAGACATCTGACATTCTTAGATATTAAATATGGAAGGGACATAGCCTGGGAAAATTAAGTACAGTTTCTACAATATCCTGACAAAGTAGAACCTTGCCAGGGGTAGACACCAGGTCTTTAAAAATCCAAGGACATGAGGAGAGGACCAAATTTCAGCTTAGTCAAGAAAAAACAGGGGACAGGAAATTCTATTAGCCTAATCTGATATGTTACATCTGAAGACACCGTGAAGATAGGGAGAGTCAAAAAATTAATGACAGGCACAGTCAAGGGATCCAATACAGAATGATCCAATACAGAAAAAAGGTTTTGGATGACAGGTCCAGCAGCTAAAGGGATTAGCACTTCTCAAACTCTGGCAAAAGTAGGTAATCACTGAATTGTCCTTCCAAGCCTGGGAGGTTAGAAGCCAAGAGAAGGCATAACAAAAGAGAACAATCATTCTGGTAATCTAACAAGTTATTTAAATTGCCTTCTGAGAATTACCAAAGCCACCACTGCAGCAATCCCACTCACCTTGATTTCTTTCTTGCAGCTTCTTTCTGAAAAAGAAACTTAAGATCCACGAAGGGGTTCACTTGCCCCCTTGGAGAAGTCACTGTTGGGGGTCTGGAACCAGCCAAGGTTTGGATGATCTTGGTTGCAGTTTTTCTTCTGCAGCAAAAGCATGGTTTCTGTTTCCCCATCATGTTCCTCATAAGGTCTAGTCCAGTGAGGATGGAGCTGGTTTTCCAGATGTTTATTCTTCCAAGATTCCAGTCTAGAGGTTCCTCGTCTCCCCTAAGAGCTTCCTAAAAGGGGTTCTGCTATGAGTCCAAAGTTGGGGATCCACATGGGGCAGAACCCGGCCACCCCCAGGAATCCCCGGGGGTCTAGAGTTTCCACTCTATCGGGGAGCAAGTCTCTCTATCCTTGTGAGAGTTCAGAACCCAAGTATTTAACAGAGGGCTGAGAACTCTGCCTTTTTTTTTTTTGGACCCATGATAGCCTCTTTCAATCAAGAAGTTCAAAGTCAACACTGTATTCTGCTCCTAGGTGTTTGTCTTACTGGTAATCAAAAGATCGTCCACAATACTGGAGCAGGGATCCCTTCTTTAGCGGAAGCTCCCTCAAATCTTTTGCCAGGATTTCTCCAAACGTCGTGGGGGAATTTTTAAACCATCCCCCCGCCCCCTAGGAAGTAGTGTCCAGGAGTACTGTTTTTTAACTCTTGTATCTAGACCTTCCCATCTGCAAGCAAACAACTCTTGGGAGTCAGAGCTCAAGGGTATGCAAAAAGAAAAAAGAAAAGCCATCCTCCGACTCCAATATGGGAAACCAACAAAAGCCTCCAGACAAAGTAGTGAGCAGGGTGTATGGGTTAGGGATCACTGGGTGAATGTCTTAGGCGTAGCAGTCTTTACTCTCTTCCCAGGACCCCCATCCCCTCTCACCTCCTGGCTCCCCTTCTGCAGTATCTCTTCCGGAATGGTCACAGGCTGTCTTTTGGGGTTGGAACGCTAGAGTCTGCAGTGGGCGAGCCTGCTCAGGGGGTACGTTAATGTCTATTTGCCCAGATGCAAAGGTAACCCTGGTATTTAGTGAGTCTTGTCCCAGAAGGGGAATGGGGCATTCAGGCATGCGTAGAAAGCCGTGCTTCAGATGGGTTTTCCCCATCTGACAGTCTAGTGACTGGAGAAAGGGCTTTTTCAAGGTTTCTCCCAACACCCCAGTCACTAACAGTCTCAGAAGAAAGTTTGGAAGGCCAGGTGTTTAAGACAAAGTAAGTGGTCCCCGTATCAATCGGAAAATCCAAAGGGTGATTCCCCACACAGGCACAGTCATCCGGGGCTCCACATGCGAGATACTGATGGACTCGACGGGATTTAGAAGAACCTCTGTCATTCTTTTTTTTTTTTTTTGAATTTTTTTTTTTATACAGCAGGTTCTTATTAGTTATCCATTTTATACATATTAGTGTATATATGTCAATCAACCTCTGTCATTCTTGATCACCTGCCACACCAACTGTTTACCTTTAAGTCTTATTGAGGATGGGACGCTTTTCCAGGGTCCCTCCTGTTTACAATATGCACGCTGGTGGGGTCCCACTATCGGATGCACCATTCAAGTGGGAGCTTGGGGCCTCTTACCTTTTGCTGAGTCCCGCGTGGGGGGTCATCCATTTGGCCCGGCTCTTCCCTGTGTCAAGGCAGTCACCAGTGGAGTGGCCAGTTTTATTCTCCGTCGTTCCCTTTTCTACTGAACCTGGTCCCTGCCGTGAAAAATTCTGAAGGCAATTTAAACAAGATGAGACATAGGCATCCCTAAAGCCCCTTCCACCTTTTGTCATTTCCTCTGTATATCAGGGGTGCTCTGACCAATAAGAGTTATA